GAGAAATCCCTTTTACTGTGTGGCCCTGAGCTGAGCAACTGGGGCATAAGGCGTAATTCGTCTGTCGGTGGTCCTGGCGTGGCGGCGTCGAATGGGCTGGCCCAAAGATGCCGATCGTGATATGCCCCTGGCACTGTTATACTTGGGGAGATCATCCAGCATGGCAGAGCCGCCCGTGTTGTCCATGCATGTCAAGCGTCGGCTCGAAATCGCTTCAGTCACCGGCCAGGTTGTTCTTGATGGATTTGGAGTGGGTGGGCTGAAACTCACGCAGTGCTATGTTGAGTGCCGTCTGAGGAGTTCCCCTTTCCCATTTGTGGCGATCGCAAATGACTGTCATTTCATTTTCTCGAAAGCTCGTGGGGACGACCGCCTCTTTTCGGCCGACGTCCTCGTGTACACTCTAGTATTCCTAGTCACCCGGCCAGGGTCACCTATGACCCACGGCCGAAACCATGGGAGCACCGCGAAAAGTGGATGGCTGGCAGGGAGTCGGTGTGAGCCGGTGATGGTGCCTCACACAGTACAGCCGTGGTGTACAACAGCAGCCTGGCAGTACTGTGTATGCGGCGGCTTGCTCGGCTGGGGCAGCCCTCGTTCAGCCAACGGTTCAGGGCAGCCATGCTCGATTTAGGGCGTTCAGCCGGAGCAGATGTGGCGCTTGTCATGTCAAATCCGGGAGTGGGAGATTGTGTCAGCAATCAATTTGACGCAGCCACGCTGACCAGGGCATGCACCAGATGCATGGTAGCGAGGCTCGGAGCTCTGAGGCCAGGCAAGGGTCTCGACGCCAGGCGCCATCCGGTACGACTCTGTGCGGTGCCTGCTTGGGTAGGCTGGTAGGCAGGGTAGGTAGGGTCCACGTGTGTCGGGATGCGAAGTTGGACTAGGACCAAAAACATGGCACTCTGGTGCAGCCACCCCGCGTCCTTACCAACTAAGGCAAGGCGATGGGTGATGGTGGGGGCATGTCGAGGATGGCAGCCTACACTAGAGGCAGCGAGGACGAGGGGCGTCGACGATGGTCTGGCGTTCTGGCGTTGAAGTCGACAGTGCAAAAGGGGGGGCTTGTCGCTTGACACAGACTGTGCCCGATGGCCCGAATGTGAGAAGTGATAGAGCCTAGCAGATGAAATGCCCACAGGCACCTGATCTCCGCGATCTGCCTGCTGTCCAGTTATTAGAGTTTGGAGGAGGAACGGCCGATCCCGAGAAAAAGCAAGTCGAAGGCAACGCCCGTCTGAGTTTCGGCGCATGTCATTTGCCCAAAGGCCAGGAGAGCCAGGAGCCAGCAGCCGGGAGCCAGGAGCCCGTTGGGGGGCACGATCCACCACGGGTCCCCCCAAGCTGGCAGTCGCAGCCGCGACCCACCAGCCCTTGTGCACACAAGCAAGCTCATTCAGGCACCCTCTGTGGGAGACATTTAGTGTGCTGCGACTGCAACTCTTGTCTGGGCCATGAGGCTTCACACGAGCAAAGCTACGCTTGGGCTGGGCGTGTCTGTCACTGCATCGATGTGCTGCCGTCACGTTCTCTTGCCTCGAGCCTGGGGCCAGAACGCTCCAAGGCAACAAGGCCGCAAGCAATCAAAAGATGCGAGGACATTGCTGCAATACTTGTACGCAAGACATACCACACCGCACCACACCACACCACACCACACGCCGGTGCGCCCTTCAGAAAGGACATGGTCCAATCGGCGCCCGCCGGCAAGCTCAACCCACCCTCCCCACCCGCTAGAGCAGCCCGTTCTGGGGCAGCCTGGGACTTCCGCGAACAGTCCTTGGTCTAGCTGACGATCATACCGGCCTCGTGCTAGCTAACTCATACCACATACTATAGGCAGCATGGAGGCGGGCAGCCGAGTGCAAGCTTGCAAGCCTCTCCACCTTGGCTGCGTTTCGTTTCGTCTCCTCCAACGCACCCGGCCGGCCGACATCACAGCTCCATCGGCCATGACAATTCCAGACGAGTTCATCACATCTCCAGCCCCCAGGCTGTGCACGGATGTGACGCCTGTCCAGCCCAGCAGCCCAGCAGCCCAGCAGCCCAGCTTCCCCTACCCGCATGTGCGCGCGCGTCACGCTGCGCCTGTGCAATGCGCCTGCTCGATGTACGGAGTACTTGCGGCTGATGCACACTCCAAGGTCGTCGCCTTCTGCAGTGGGCGGCAGGCACATTGGGGCTAGTCAGGCACATGGCACATGGCATTGCATCCAACGCCTCGCGGCTCCGGCGGCGGTCTTGCCCCAGTGCCGACTCTTGATGGATGCAACCACAACTGCGGCCGATGCAACCTCGATGAAGCACGTGCGCCGACCAAAACATAACATGGCGACGCCACGAGTCGAAACAAAAGGCACTGCCCTTCAAGGTCGGAACGCCAGAGCGGGGGAAATGCTTCTAGTGCCCCATCTCACTGCGCATACTGTGGTACTACGTAGTAGAGTCTGCCCGTCACGTCCTCTTAATCCCCCTCGTTGCACTAGGCGCACACCACCCACGAGTCACGATTGCCCCTCCGTCAGTCCAAGCTGTCTCGCGCAGATTGTCCAGCGTCCGATTGACGACGTCCGAGACAGCGCTGCTTGACGATCACTGCAGGGCTGGAGTGCCACTGCACGTGGGACCTATATATGTTCGGCCGGAGCAGCGCGGAGGGGTCGCTCCATACTCGAACGGTACAATCTCGCATCCGGCAATGTGGCTGCCAGCCAATCATGCACTCCAGCTTCTCCACTCAAGTGAAACGACGTCGAAACGGCGTCGAAGGGCCTCTGGTCTCTGGCCCAGCTACTGCTACGTGAATGGGGTTTGCAGTGGCTGGTTTGTGTTGCAGCTAGCGTCCAACTCTTCAGCGAGTTGAATGCGCAAGCGCCTCAGGCCACCCCCCGATCACATGCGGATTACATAGGTGTGACATTCAAAGATATGGATCTCGTTGGCCTGTGCTTCTGGAGGTTGTCTCAGCAGTCTGACCTGTTCGAACAGGCCGCAAGAACTACAGGGCCGGGAACGACCCGGCCCCGTTTCCGTCAGCTGGTTACCAAGGCCGATCGACTAGACCCCTATTTGAGCTATTTGTGAGAGCGCTGCACACACAGACCATGCGTTCGCAAGCGAACCAGTGGCTGGCCCTTGCAGTAGTGAGGTTACACACTGATAACTTGGTAGGCTAAATTTGCAAAACACGACAAACAAAAGCCTAGATGCTTACAGACTACGACATGCTGATCACTATCCTTAGTTGGCAGCTTTTGCCATGTGGGATTTTGTGGCCACATTTTTTTCCTGGCCCGATGCAACTCCACTGCGTGCGGGTGACAGACAGCTCCTGCTTGTCCGTCGAATCGCATCTCAGACCGTGCCTGCGGCGAATTTCTCTAGTGCCCGTTCGAAACCGTCAATCGCTGAGGAAAACTCTGGTTGAGGGTGCGTCTAGACCCTAGACGCACTGCTGGACTTCCCTGTTACCGTCTGCATGTCGATTCATGTAAGGCCTGAGCAGGCCATGGTTCAGGCTCAAAAATTTGTTGCCCTGCCTCACGCTTCACGGTATGCGACCACGCGGTGTTACCTCTTGAAACGATCCTTAATGCAATCGACTGATCATGAGATCACTGTAATGGAATGGAGAATGCTACTGGAACACGGGTCTTAGGCACATCTCCCCGCGGTCTGTGTCTGCTGGGAACAGACAAACTACTGCAGTCATCGAGTGACCAGTCACATCTCCATCTTCACGCGTAGAGATCCCCGATGGATAATAATCGAGTGTGATCCAGGGTCCCAGGTAAGAGCCCTTGCTTCGGCCGACTATATCATATCGGGACAAAACAACGGTCTTCTGCCGGCTGGCAAGGTCGACCTGACTATCAGGCCTGCAGCTGTCTGTATCTACACCACCGACGATTCAGCAGTCTACAAGTGATTCTCAGTACAATAGTTCACACAAGGCTATCTTCGTGGGCTTGCGCGGCGGATCGAACGTGCGCCACGGCACCCGCAGCTTGGGGCTTGTTGCACAGCTCATCAGCCACGCAGACTGCATTTGTTCGCCACGATTGGACATCTCTTCATCCGTCACTAGAATGACTACGAAGCTGCTCAACTCGATCATTCCTTGGTACGGAGCAGCTCGTATCAGGCTAGTTGGCGGGGCGTCAGCCCCGATGTTTTGTAGCTCTCGGAGGCGGGCCGAGTAACACAGATTCTTGTGTTCTTTGCCAGCGCTGTGGTAATCAAGCGCTGCCCACGCCTTAAATTATCAACATCAATAGATCAAGCCAACGCTCGCTGAAGACGCTCCCTGTGAGAATATTGTTGTGCTGCCACATTGGACTAGTACACTAATTCGAAGCTGCAAATCCGGGCTACAATTGATGCAGGCTGGCTGCCGGATGCACCGTTTCTACTATCCGTGTCGCGATAGGACAGCACCAATTGATTGTGCGGGATCTGTGTAATCCATGAGGGTGCTTGTGGCTCCACATGCCACCTGGGCTGTCAGGTTCCACAGCAGACGGGTATGCGGTGTGAGAAGACGACGAAGGCCCTATGCTGGCTGACGTTAAATGAGGCTGAGATGTGGTGGTACTTTGATCAGCGCCGCTGGTATCTCTCGACCTCCACTTCACAATGTAAGCTCATTTGGCCTCTCGCCAATTTCATCAGAGCTGGAGTCCAAAGTGGCCCAGGCCCTTCTCCCTGCATTTCCAAGTCCCGCTCAGAGAGTGGGATCTACTGATGATTCCACCGAGTATCATCGCCATCAAGGTAGACGGAATGTACCACGATGATATCAAGGCTGGCTGTCAGGGTGGTCTTAATAAGGGCTGACTGTAGATGTGCCAGCTAAAGAGTGGGCCCATCGCGATCCTATGGTGGGGGGTTAGTGACAAGGAGACCCCAGTTGGACCCAGACGTCAACCTTCATTTCGACTAAGAAAAAAAAAATCGACTTCTCGGTATGCCTCCTGTAGCAGTTACGGATTGACGCCTCACCAACCCAGTCCATCGATATTGACTTGTTCACCTCCGATCGTCGGCTCTCGCGACTCGACATGATGAGAAGCACCCTCGGGCCGGCTGCCAAAGCCCCGGCACCCACTGCTGGCTAGGCTCATGTGTGGGTCTAGTCGTGGGATTTGTGAGAGGAGGCTGCCGTCTGCAGCCTGCTGTGCGAAGACGGGGTGCAGGCGGGGCCCAATGCAGGTCCAACGTGTCAGAGACTTGGGAGGATCATGCAGCCGAGCATCATGAACAATCCGGTCGGCTCCTGGGTTTAGATTTCCGCAGGACTTTTGTGGACTCCCTGCAACATTTTGCAGTCGTCTCCATACATCGCTGGATTCGCCCTCACTGCCTCGAGCACCCAGCAAGCTCACACAGCGAGTGCTGTGGAAATGTTGGCAGCTGCGCGCAAACGTGTTCCCTTCCACCACAACCATCCGAGTGTTGGCCCTGTCAAGGTCGGCCAGTACAAGCGAGACGCGCTTACCGTTGGCGGCAATGGCTCAAGCGGTTTGTGCGCTCAGGCGCTGGGTCAACTGACCAGCAGAGTCCCTGAATTTTGCTTCAACGTTCAGCCGCGCACGGCCTGCACACGCTCTGAGCCGGATCCTCCAACCTTCGCCAACTATGCATTGCGGGTCTCGAATGCTAGCGGGCCTCTGTGTGACGGCACAGCTCTCTACACACAAGGGAGGAGGAGCCCATCGCTGGGGATTATTCTGGATCGACGGGCGCTCTGTTTCGTAATCTCAGGGGCGCGGTGGCAGAAGAGTATCCAGGAAATCTCGCTTGCTTGTGAACATGGAAATGACTGACTGTGTACAGACAGCCTGGCCTCATTGCCCGGGCACGCCCTTTGCCGAGACATCAAGGCATCTCGCCATCGGAGCCGGACCGTCTGGGCCTCTTCCGTCGCCCCGCTGTTCGCCTGATCTTGATGACGGTGATCTTCACCTCGCTTACTAGCTGGCAGCTGGCTGGCATTGCTCGCACGGGCGCGGCAAAGTGTGCTGAAAACCCTCTTCGGCTGACCATTGGATGGACCGTCAGCCTGTCCAGTACCGGTTCAGGGCACGCGACTCCGTTGCTTCAGGAGTCAAGCCTGTTGCGAGCAGCTGGCTGAATCGGTCCCTTCACAGGGGCCAGGCATCACCCATTTCGCGACACGATAGCCCAGCGACAGTGCGGCTGGTGGCGGCTGGTGGCGTCCGATGGGAATCAGCGCTGGGACTCAGAAGGCTAGGCCAATGGCCTCGAATGTGCACTGCAGTCCTTACAGGCGTCGAAGCAAGACGAATATGTACGCTCGGATGGTGGGGCTGAAGGGACGATGCTCCTTGGCGGAACGCCGCACCCCCACGACACATGGCGGGCAAGTGATCAGTCAACTCGCCGGCCGAGATACGCCACGTCGATTTTGTTGGCGCCATCTCCTGTACCTACGTCGGATCACTATCAGGCAGGGCCGGGGCCGTCAGGGTCTTGGTGATCGTTGCAGGGCTGTCAATTCTCTTGATGCAACGGTATCAAGGGGGGAGTGGGGGGGGGAGGGGACTTCAAGACTTGGATGGCGGCAGGGCAGCGCAGGTCATCAAACCATGCGCAGCTCATGGCCTGTCAGCTGGCTTATTTACTAGACGTGCTGCCAATCTTGGGCGATATCTTGGGGGGTTCTGGCGTGATAACCCTCCCGATAGAGGCATGGCTCATCAGACGGGCAAAGTTGTCACGCACTTCAAGCATCCATGCGGCGGGCGGCATGGACAAGCTGCCCAGGGGGCGCCATGCAAAGACGTCTGGCCCTTTGACCAAGGCACGCCCGTAGAACATCAACCAGGCCGTGCTAGTGTCGTTGTTCCTGCCTGAGATACGAGTGCGAGGCAGTGGGAATGGCATCAGGACAGGCACAAAAGCCAGTCAAACGCCCGCCGAAACACACGACAGGCGAGTCTGACACTGAGTCCAGCCGGTCCAAGTTTAATGATCTCAGGTGCCGCTGCGACGGACATCCGACCTCCTGCGTCTGCTAAGCCGGAGAATTTCTGTGCTAGGGTCCTTGTCGGCAGTGTGGCATGTTCAACACCTGTCAATCAAGGCGCCGTCGTTTTGAAGTACGGCGCGCACCAGACAGGCGAACCTGCGCAGCCACGGTGGGGCGTTGAGACACCTGTAGTCCATCGCAGAGCTCGTTGAGACGGAGAAATACGACCTCTGCATATTCAAACGAGCAGTGGCGGTGCCTGGGATTTCCCCATTGGGAAACCAGCAGTTGGCCTGGTGGCTCACTGGCCACCAAAGTACCTAGGTAATTAATTAGCTGCCGGATGCGGGCAGTTGGAGGTGGTTGTTTAACTGCATGTACTCGCTACGAGCAACAGCCTATGCCACGGGCGGAGTATCAATGTCCCTGCTTTCTTGTGTCCCCATCTGTTCCCCGGAGTTTTCAGATCCGCTGGCACTCCGTCACATCTCCCAATTCGATCATATCTGCCAACGCGACACGTCGATTCCAGAGCCGCGACCCGCGAGCCCCGAGCCCCGAGCCCCATGCCCTTCTCCCCTTTTCTCCCCCTTCCCAGGCGCAAGGCTCGCGAATCTGCATGAACCGGTGGTTTCATAAATAGGAAGCGGAAATACCGACACGGCGGACCTGTCAACGGATCGTCCGGAGATGGAGCTGTCACCAGCCCCCCCAGAGCCCCCGCGCCGTGCCGAGACAAACGTACTGTGTGACGAGCGTGTATGAGCACGATCGAATGCGGTAGCGAGCACGACTGAGATGGAGGGCAACGGGAGCGTGGCTGTGCCACGGTTCCCAACAGGGGCCAGACGGGCGTCGGGTAGGTGAAAAAGTCCATGAGCACGCCGTCTCGCGGGGACGGCGGGAGCCAGGTGGCATGCCCCGGCACCCACGAGTAGTGTAGTGCTGGTGTTGTGGTGGTGTGGTGGTGTGGAAACCGCCGGGGGCGCGTGTAAGTGACGGCTACCTTGGGACCGGGCGATGGAGCTCCTCGGCTCTGCGCCACGCGGGGGTTATTTGGGGTTATCTTGTAACACGCGTTGTAGGCATGGGCAGAGGCACGACGCCTGGGGGCGGGGCGGGGACGGCGGCGACGGCGACGGCGATGGCGACGGTGCGTGGAAGGAGGCACGAGGCAGGCTGGCAGGCTGGCAGGCAGGCAGGGCGGCCAGATTGGGGCCTTGTCTTCTCTTCCGGGACCAATATTGCTCGGGGACGTGGTCAACACGAGAGGCAGGTGGCCTTGGCGGAGTCAAACCGCCAGGCCGTCAGTGACAGGCGCAGCAAGTCACTCGGCAGGCCCATCGAGGGGCGCGGATGAGATGTTGTTTTCTGGCGCGACATATCCACCCGCCGAGCCGGGACCCTGGCAGCTGGATATTGGGGCTACTGGGGCGGGCCACCCATGCTATTTTGGGCGGTGAGAAGCTCGTGTGGGGGGGAGGCTGGGCTGGGAGGTGTTTCGCCCGAAATTAGCCATCGCACGGGGGGCAGAAAGCTGCTGGCTGCCAGAGCTGCCGGAGCTGCCAGAGCTGCCAGAGCTGCCTCTGAACCCTGCCGCTGAACCCTGCCGCTGAACCCTGCCTCCTGGTGGCATCGGAGAATATCGTCAGTCGCGCCTGGCACGAGCAGGACCAGGTGTCGAATCGGGGGGCCTCATTTCCAAGATTGAAGGATGGCTTGCCTCTTTCAGGTGAGGCTCCTCCTCTTTACCGTGGTACATGGTCCTGACTACCCGAATACCTACACAGTACGGCAGTACGACAGTACGGGGGCCACAAGTGGCGCATCTGTCAACAAGGTGCCTCTCACGCCATTTTGGTGCCCTTCGGCTGAGAAGACAGTCGGGACCAGGGCACGCACGCCAGGGTGCGCCCCTCCCCGACTGGCGATCCCGGCGACGCTCCCGTTCTGTCACCCCCCCGCATGATCTGCACGTGTCCGGTTTGCCTATCCGGCGGTGCTGGTCGTGGCTGCCCTGACTGCCCTGGCTGCCCTGACTGCCCTGGCTGCCCTGACTGCCCTGACTGCCCTGGCTGCGTGGTTGGCACATTGCATCGTGGCCCTGCCAGTGCTCTTGCTTCTGGCCCCCCCTTCTCCCCCTTTCGGCTTCTGCTGTCAGAAAGCTTGACGAGGGCCTGACCACAACCCCTCCTCTGGTCATTACACGCTTGGCTTGCCTGGGTAGGAGCATCGGCCCACGACTCACAACATGTCCTGGCTGATCTCGGCTCACCGCAGGATAAACACCACCAAACTGCCTGGCTGCCTCGATGCCACATGTCAGCAGCTCCGTCCACACCACCAGACCACACGGCGCCACGCCCTCGCACGGCTCTCGTCGAGGCCCCACAGCTTCGAGAAGCATTTGAAGAAGCTTCAAAACCGCCCGTGGAGACCTCTGAGTGGCCCCTAACCCCTTCGTCATCATCCTCGTCGGTCCACCTGCACTGCTACGCTATGACGGACAGATGACAAAGTCGACTCCTTTGCTCCTATCGAGACTAACTAACGAAGCAAAAGAAATGGGGTCGCCGGGGCCACCGCAGAACTTGTAGGCGAGGCTGCGAGCCACCCGTCAGACCGTGATGCCGCTGGCGTAGCATCCCCAAACCCAGGCCCCGAGGGAGCTGCTGCCAGAGCCGCCCATGTTTTTTTTTGTTGCGCTGCACCCGAGCGCCCGGCATTGAGTTTCGCGTCTGGCGAGTCCGGGGCTTCGAGGGAGCCCCCGCCCGCGCCTCGGGCTTGCGTGCGTGGGCTTGATATAGTGCCACAAAAAGCTTGAGCCGCTGGAAACGTCAAATACATTGGCAGCCCTCCAAACTCTAATCGCCCAAGGCGAGATAGCCGCAGCTGCTTGATAGCAGCCAGCGCCCTAATGCAGCATGTGACGCTGACCTGCTGCGAGTTCAAACCTTGAAAGGCGGGCTCGCTGCACCCTCGCCATCCGTGTGGCTGGCTGGCTGGCTGGCTGCATGCAGGTGAGAACCAGGACGCTCGCGCAGCCAGCCACGGTCCACAGGGCTAGCGGCTCATATGGCCTGGTGGACGGGGGTGGGACAACATGGTTCGCGACGGGATGCGAACCCGGGGAGGGGGGGGGGGCGAGATCTCGACGCCGGACGCATGCCAATCAGGCCAGTCCTGGCAGTCTGGCAGTATGGGCATCATCTCATCCCCTCTGCAGTGCTGAGCGTGCAGACCTAGCAGATCAGATGGGCGTTTCTCGTGCTGTCGGCCCACTCTCCCAGCGCCGTAGCATGCCACTGCGTGCTACCTAGTCCAAGACGTACAGCCAAGCGGTTCCGGGGAGACGATCCGCATGCCAGGGCTATGCACAATCTGCGGCGATCTCACGCGAGTTAAACAGCTCCTGCATGCGGCTGCTGCAGCTTGGAAACAGATCATGGACGACCCTCAACTAAACGATGGATGGCTGTAGTGCCCGCTGCTACTGCGGGGCGGCGAACGTGCCCCGGCCAGTGCTGGCTGCAGCTGCCCGGGCTGACTCGGCTAGGCTCGACCCGGCTCGACTCGGCCGAGGACCATATGCATATGGCTGCGAGCGAGCCGGAGGAGGAGGCAAAGGGAAAGCTGGGCGGGAGGGAAGGGAAGTGACGAGTAGGTCGAGTGTCCCTCACGACTGAAGTTCCGCCGCACAACACTTGCGGCCATTGTTTGGGTTCATGTCGCTTGCATGAGCGACGGGTTGCATGCGGCGCCGGTACTGGCTGGCCACGAGTGGGCGCGGATGCACTGTGATGCGATGCGATGCGATGCGAATTTTAGGCTTGCAGGGCGCCAGGTGCGGCAGGGAACATGATGCCATGATGCTCGCCAGGGGACTTAGCTGTCGATCCTCACCGGCCTCACTGGGTGCTCCCTGTGTCCGCGGGCGTGGGCAGCAGGGCGATACCACGCCAGCCTCGAAGCCTTGCCCGCCCGTTGTCCCATCAGCGTCTGCCGCTGGACTACAACGACACCGGCCCATGGCCGGCTTGACACATAATCAGCCTATTCTTTGGGCCTGCGCAGCCTCTAATGGCAAGTAATGCCTGTGCTCTGCAAGGCTAGGTGCAGAGTTCAAGGAGCAGTGGTCCCGGACCTTGCCTCCCTCGCCTCATCCCTGGCGATGCCCTTCCATCTCTTTGGGCGGAAGCAGAAGTGTGCCTGGGTCTGGAATGCGCGCCATCATGGTCCATCGAGTTCCAGCACGAGAGCTTAATCCATGCTATTGCTGATTCCGGCGACGGGCCCTGAACCAAGCCGCCTACTCCAGGCTCACAGGTACGGCTAGCCTCGCCTCTCGCCTCGCCACACTACCACCCAGCCCACCATACTACACCCATCACGGTGAGCTCGCGCGGCTGGTCCATTTCCCCGGGTCCAGCCACCAGTTGCAATTACCGCGGGACAACTCTGCAAGAACTTGGACTCGTTAGGGGATCGCCGGCGGGCCGGCATACACTCATCAAACTACCGAAGTTAGCGCTTGGTTGATTTGACTCGTCATCTCAGGGCTCTGCCGCCATGCAGTCCCCGGGGCCTTGGATGCAGGTCGCGTCTTCCCCGTGTGTCCCAGCAGTAACCAAATCGTCGTTTCACCACACGAGGTTCTCCAGCGTCGGCAATGGTTCGCGTTGCAACGACAAGGTTGACGAGATATCTCCCTGTCGGGATGAGGCAACCTCGCGCGGTCCTTGTTTGCTGTGCCTGAGGGGGGCGAAACTCGGGGAAAATCCTGTCCATTAGAGTTTTTACGACAACATGACTAAGTAGACATGTCCCTGGGGTGGCCGGTTAGCCAGGACAACACCAGACATCGATGTTGTACAATGGTGTGGATGGACCAGTGGTGCGGGCTGCGACGAGCTTGCTTTGTGGCGGCGACGCCATCGCCAGGCATCGATGCCGTTTTGGATAGAGCCATACATGACTTGGCTGTTTATGGGTTAGATTTACTGATAAGCTATGACGACTCGTCAACTGCGACAAGCACATGTGAGTTCGTCCTATGCATACGTCTAAAATCGCGCAATACGCCCTTGTCGAAACCAGCTACCTAACGGTGTGTTTCCACACTGCCAGACAATGAATCTCCTGCCCAGCGCATGTGGTGCGGGACATATTAGCGCTGGTGTGGGAAACCGTACTACACTACGTAATGGAGGTGTTCGTGTCAGCGTCTGGACTAGAGCGGCATGTGTTAAAACTTCCGGCCTTCTCTACAGCGCACAGACGAGTCCCCTTGGAACATGGGAAACAAACAACTTGGCCTAAGCGATTCCCTTTGCGCCCAAGTGGTATCGTAGCCTGCCCCGGACCAGCCAAGTACGGGCTACCCAAGCACGAGAGGCTGAACTAAGAGAGAGGCGGGACGCGGCAGTCCGATCGGGGACTGCGTATCCCGTTGATAGTCAAGGGGACGTGATAGGGGCGTGATGGATGAACGATGGATGGAGAGCTCACGGGCCGGCATATCATATCACAACCTGTGATCAACATGGCCCAGCCAGACACGGCATGGTCTCGATGGCGCCAGGGGTTGTTTTACATAGTACGAATCCTCTTCCGGGCCCTTTTATAGCTGTTCATCAGATGGGCCACGGTCGTCGGATTTGGGGGCCAATGCTCATGTCATTTCAAATTCACGAGCGACCTCGGTGGCTCTGGCCGTGCCAGCTGGCACTAGGGGCGGTCTCAAGTCTTCGCTTGTGGCTAGAGGCTGGTGGGATACGGGATGCCACTTTCCTTGAGCATTCGGATTGATTCAAATGTATACTACCTAGGTAGTGGGGCCTGTTTTGAAGTAGATGTAACCAAGCTCGTGAAGATATGTGCCATCGATGTTGATGGCCTGGATTAGCACGCGCCATTAGATGAGCTGTGAAGTGCGCGCAAAAGACAGCCCAGAATAAGCGATGAAAGTGTGATTCGGGGACGAGGTCGAAGCTCATCCTTCGCGCTGTGGACGTTACTCCACGTATTTGCTTGACAAAACGTATTGGGGAAATCTGGTTGCTCGTCGAGACGACCATTTTGGCAAGAAGTGGTCGATACGCTCGCGGAGAAGTACTGGGCTGTTGAATACTGTTCGAACAAGTAGGGACCACCAAGAGAAATTTTCTTCCAAGTTCGACCGGTCTTGAACTCCGTACAACAGTTGCACGCAATGGAGCGAGTGCATAGTGATGCATAGTTCAGGTAGTCTTGGTGATCCCCTGAGACCACTCCTCCCAGCCAGACAAATTTACTTCGCGACCGGTCCCAGACACAGTTGATCATGTCACCTTGGGATTGATAGAGCTTTTGGGCGCCGACTACGAGCGGCCTCATCTGTGAAGGATGATTGCGAGTAGAGCGATTCGTCGTAAGAGCCGATGCTTGTGGATTGAGCATGATGCAGTGAGAGTGAATGACCGCCCGGGGCCTGCTTAGAATGACCCCCCAACAACCGAATGGAGTGTTGTCGAGGAGGAAGTGCTCGCCCCCAGACTCACATGAGCTGAACCTCATGTGACTTGTACCTAGATGCTCCGGGGTCTTAGGGAGATCGTTCTCGTGGACCAATAGGTAACGTGGTGTTCCTCTCGTGTAAGTCCGATGCTGTGGGTGAGCATGCATGGTCCCAACGGTCACCTCTAGGCAACAGGGCCAGAAAGTCCTGATGAGGTGGGCCGTAAGATTTCTTCTGTCCTTGAGGACAAGTCTGTCAGTCCCCCGGAGATTGAACGGAGTTGAAAGGTGTGATTCATCACACGAAAATGATTTGCGATGCACCCAGCTGAAGCAGCGAACGCGGCAAGAAAAATGAGCGATATAACCAGACCGACTCAGTTGCAGACATCGGCGTCCTCGCCCCGGCCCCTTCTTGACCGCAGCAAGTGAAATGTCACAATGGGGTCGGAAGGGGCTGCCTGCGACGACAGCGTACATCTCCGGACTGGTGGTCACCAGCCGTCGCGTCTTGTGCACTGTCTCCCGGAACCCAAGCATGCATCACCAATCTCTTTCGTGAAAAACAGGCCCCAGAACCAGGTGCTGATGTGATCCCCGAGGGAGGGGGGGGTACTGATTGACTCGCTTTGCATGGCTGGTGGTTCCCGCTGTACGCATACATCACGGCGGTATGTTTGAACGAGGCGGGCTGATGGGGATACCACATCGTCGCTACCAGCGTCGTGAGTCTGGCGAGAAGGCCGGTGAGCAAAGACGGTAGCCCAGAGCATCTTGTCTGTCAAATCCAGCAACAAGCTCGTTCCCGATGGGGCTTCCGCCGGGCCATTGGTGCTCGGCAATCTGGGATCTGGCGCTTGTTCAGTCCAGAACGTCCTCGGTGAAGAGTGCACAAGTCCAACTAGGCAAGACTTGTTGCTCACTCTCCGACTCGTGCACAGGAAGCAGGGTCGGGCAGGAAACCGGTTGGACGCGCGGGAACCCGGTGTGTGGCAGCCAACGCGGGAGGCGGGATACGAAGGCTCGGGGGGCAGGATGCAGACGAAAATGACGCGCTGAGGCGGAAGACGCCAGGGAAGCCTGACGGACGAGGATGTGAGAATTGATGGATTGCGGTTACCGCTTACAGGCAGGCTCTTATGGGGAGAGTGCAGCCGAAGAAGCAAGGCCGTGGCTGTGTAACCTGCCATAGCCAGCTGAGATTGTGATGCATTGCATGAGGTATCGACTTGCACAACGGTGGAATGATCTGCTGCACTTGCAATTAGACACGCATACACGCACCCACCATGGAACATTTGAACCTTGGTGCAGCTCACGAGGCATCCAGGGTGGCATCCGCATCCTGTGAGGCGGTCTGCAAGGCCAATGACGCGACCCATACACATCACTCGCAAAGGAGCGCAGGCCGGTGAGGCTGATTCTCAGGTATGTCAACCTCGGGACATCAATGCCTGCGGGAGAGGACATCTGACAGATGAGAAGCGACGAAAGCCTGTGTTTACCCTCAGGTTCAGAAACCAGGGCTCCCACACAGCCAAGACAGCATACTGAGCCAGCTGGCAGGGAATGCAAGGGCAGGATCGTGCATGTGTAGCGCCAGGCTCGCCTGCAATGGCCCCAATAAATTGACAGGTCGGGGTTGAAGGGTGTGGCTGTCTCTGCTTTTCACTCCGAAGCGCTCGCTCGCCCATCTTCGGCCGTCGCATGTGAGCTGTCATAAGTCAGAATCTGGGAAGAGACTTTAGAATCAGGTACTGCTTTGTACCGATACTCTAGTGGCATCCAGGTCTCTTGCATTCTCATTAAGTGCAAGATGAGATGAAGCAAGAGAGCATGCCAGCTCGAGCGGTATGCATAACTCGGATCATTTGTTGCAGGTATGAGCTGGGCTCGCGACCGAGTGGATCTGCATCGACCTCGGTACAAGAACAACAATGTGGTGAGTCTTTCGTTTGAAGTGACATGCGAGATGGCCGACGAGAGCTCGCATATCTTACGTTGGTGCTGTCAAAAGATGGGACCCCAGAGACAGTACTGTCCTTGTCAGCTCTGCGGCCGGCCGGCCTGAGTGTCGGCAAACGCACGATGCGAAGTTATTCAGCCTTTGTGTGGTTGCTCGCGACAGTCGGCAAAGGCGTGATGCCAATCTACTGTGGATACCGTGCATCAACAGGCTGCAAACCTGCCCAGGTGGAAAAGTTCGACTGACCATGGACGACTGAAGTTACCGTGTGTTATCAACCAGGTGATCAGAGGGCTGAGTGGGATTGGTTTCCGAGACAGGTCGCTACCATCGAGTATATTCCATGTCGCCGCCGGCGCAGTAAAGAAGAAGGTGGAGTCCTGAGCCTTCCATGACATCGCGGGCCCGGTAGTGCGTCCCATCAGACTGTCAATGCTAGACCAGTCGAGGGTGCTCACAAATGGATGGCCACATCCGTCCTTGTTTACTCGGACACTCCTCCGCCTCAGGCATTTGCCTGAAGTTTGGATGGCGCGTCTCGAGTGAGGCCGTAGTTGACCGCGTTGGTGGGCCTAGTACACCTGGGCATAGGAATTCCAGCTTCTCCACGGGGGATTTGGCCCGGACGGTATGTCTCCCTGGCGCCAAAGGTGTTGCACCCACATGGCAGGTTTTACCATCTGCTAAGTCTCGTCTCTAGCACCGTGCCTTCAGTACTGCATGTGGGCCATATGTCTGGCGTGGATGTCAGTTTGATACCTCAATGTCGGGAGCCACAACTTTCCCATCTCAAGGCGCGATCAGGGACCCTCGGTCACTCACTCTCACCTGGGTGCTCTCTCACTCGGGTTGATGGGTGGTGTGTCAGCACAAAGAGGAGAACGTTTGTGTGCTGACGGCAGTCTCATTCCTTAGAGTTTGATCGATCTGGCCATGGCCGTCCGTGAAAATGGTAGGATCGAGCCAGGTAATCAGCAAGGACTACTGAACGGTTTGTGCGACGAGATGGAGGTCCGTGGTGTATGATATTATCGCCGAAGACGCAACGGGAACGGAGCCACGGTTCAGAACGGAGGTCAGACTAGCTCCGATGGACACTACCGCCCGGGTGCCAGGCGGGCTTTTGCAGGTGCTCTAGTGGCGAGCCTGTCTGGTTAAACGCCGACGTGAGGAGGGAGCATCCCCTGTTATTGCCGATGACGTGATGTGTTTATCGACCTCGGGATGGTGGGGCTCTCGGTGCCGTAATGCCTGAATGCGACTGCGCTTGAAGAGCTCGGCCTGTATAATCGCGAGGGGTGTGTGGAGGGCATCGTCTAAACATATATATACCTCTTGGTATGCATGTGTGTACCGGCATATATATGTGTGTGCACATATCCTAGGAAACAACACTGCTCCAGAATAAACAAGACCACGTAGATAAGTCAACAACAAGACCAAAACCAAAGACCGACCCATCCAACCCATCATCAATCCAATATGACCAAAGTCCTTCTCACCGGTGCGCACGAAAACCCTTCCCAACATTGTGGCTGATCAGTCTGGTTAACAACCAACCCCCGCAGGTGGCTCTGGCTTCATCGCTGCCCACGTCCTCGAGCAGCTCCTGGCGCGTGGCCACAATGTCGTGACCACTGTTCGTTCCGACGACAAGGCGGCCAAGATCCACGCCGCCCATGCTAGCCTCGGCAAGGACCGCCTGGAGACGGCCATCGTGCCCGATATCGCGAAGCCTGACGCCTTCGACGAGGTCGTCAAGACCCCAGGCATCGAGGTCGTCCTCCACACAGCAAGCCCATTTCATTTCAACATCACAGACCCCCAGAAGGACCTTATCGACCCCGCCGTCATCGGCACCACCAGCATCCTGAAGGCCATCGCCAAATCCGCCCCAGCAGTGAAGCGTGTCGTCATCACCTCATCCTTCGCCGCCATTCTCGACGCCTCAAAGATAAACGACCCCAACACCACCTTCACCGAGAAGTCCTGGAATCCCGTGTCCATCCAGGACATCCACAAGGACAGTGCCACCGCCTATCGCGCCTCCAAGAAGCTCGCTGAGGAGGCTGCCTGGGACTTTGTCGCAGACAAGTCCAACAACGCCAAGTTCGACCTCGTCACCGTGAACCCGCCCATGGTCTTTGGCCCTGTTGTACACCACCTCGCCAGCCTCGACACCATCAACACCTCTAACGAGCGCATTGTCGCTCTCGCACGGGGCAAGTGGAAGGAGGCCGGCGCCGTGCCCCCGACTGGAGTGTCCAACTGGGTCGACGTGCGCGATGTCGCCAGGGCGCACATCCTGGCCTTCGAGAAACCCGAGATTGGCGGCCACAGGCTCTTCACCACCGCGGGCTCATACTCCAACAGGGGCATCCTGGATGTAGCGAGGAAGAACTTCCCAGAGCTCCAGGACAAGCTGCCAGCAGAGGATGTTCAGGGCGGTGAGCCCGCCCCGGCGGACACAACTTACAAGTTTGACAACTCGGAGACCACCAAGCTGCTGGGCTTCGAGTGGATCCAGATCGAGACGACCGTGGTCGATACTATCAAGAGCCTGAAGTCCTTCCTCTAGCGAAGCTGTCGGGGTTGCGATTGGTTGACCGTAAACAGGCTGTCGCACTTTCTTGTGCGCCACGTCATCATGGATAGCGGCCAAGGAGGCTGAGACATATTCATACAATCCTTCTATTTCATGCCCTTACTCTGCGTATGCACTGTGATATGACAGGAGGAACGCTGCGAGCCTGACTTGGACCGCGCCGAAGGTGGATGCATATTGGAACACATACCCAACCAGAACGATGTGATATGTGATATCGACTTCCTGACAACGAGGACAACCTTGCTGTATTCATTATCGCAAAATTCAAGCGGGTCTCAGTGGGTTTCCAGCTCCCGCGAATTCCCACCGCACTATGCACTCGTACACCGGAGCTGCGCCTGCAAGACCCAAGATTACCCCGAGATGAAATTGGTAAACCCCAGTGGCACAGAAGTCATACTAATATCCTCATTCATTTAATCTTGTTGCAAGCCCTGCCCTCTTCCGATGGAGGGGGTATCAATCAAATGCAGCCATTCGTCACTAAATCTTCCGCCCTATTTATACAACAGGGCCAAGCATTGTATCCCAAACGCCTTTCGCAATGTTCCCCATGCGAGACCCATCTAGAATCTACAACACAGCCGTCAAAGGTGTGATCACGTGCGTTGCCTCTTGAGCCTTGAAGCCATGCCTGACGACCACTTGCAAGAAGCTCATAGGAAGTAGTCGCTCGGGCCCCTGCGGCCAGCGGGCACATGCCGTTGGTCATCGGGTACAGCAGAGAAGATACTGAACTTGGTGTCCAGGTTTGTGTCGACCGTCATGATAGAAGCCACATTTCCACATCTGTAGCAGTAGTTGGGCGCAGACCAGACGGTCACGACGGATTTCTCGGGGAAGTGGTACTGACAGAGATTGTCAGCCTATTTCAGAGCCAAAGGTGGTTTCTGAGGGCGGGGGGGGGGGGGGCAAGCAGGACGTACCTTGTAGCCTTCATTCACAAGCTGATGTGCTCGAGCAATGGTCTTTAGGCCGTTGACGTGGTTGAACTCGGTGGCAACCTTATCACCAAACAGCCAGCCCGCGCCACGTGGACTCACAGCCCATGTGTCGATGTCTTCGGGATCGCTCCATACCAAGTCACAGAATGCACCCTCGTGAGGAATCTCCTGGGCTCGGGCGACGACCCTGATCTGATCAATAGTCCGGATCTCGGGGCTGAGGCCACCGTGCACACACAGAACAGTCCCGTCCACAATGGCGGCCAGGACAAGGAAGTCAAATACTTGGCAGCATGCCTTCCAAACCGAGGCGTTGCCATACTTTGTTTGACATTCTTCGTAGAACCCGTAAACCTGTGTGATCTGTCGAGACTCGTGGTTCCCTCGGACAAGGACGATTCGATCGGGATACCTTGTGCTAGTTAGTTACGCTGCAAGTGGAACTCGGCGCATGGTCCGACTTACTTTGCCTTGAGACACATCAGTAAAGTGAAAGTCTCGAGACTGAAATATCCACGGTCGACGAAATCGCCCAGGAATACAAATCGAGTATCGGCCGACTGTGATGGGCCAGTAGCGCCAGCACCGACGCCGGTGCCCGAACTGCCGGGCCTTGCAACACTCTCGGAAGACGTGTTGGCGTCGTCATCGACGTCCCCACCTGGCTCGCCGCCTTCTTCTCCAGACGCCTTGGACTGCTTTATCTTCTTTCTCAGTTTCGGGTTGGTGATCTCGGTTGGCGGCTCGATGTCTTCCGAGGTAATCACTGTCGTGGCGGTCTGTGGGGCTTGCACATTGGTCTCGCCCGGCATCCCGCCGGCGACACGGAAAAGCTCCAGGAGGTCATAGAATTGGCCGTGTATGTCCCCGCAGATTGTGACGGGCGTCACGATTGGTTGTATGTTGGACTCTAGGGAGTGTGGTCAGCACAAGCCGTCGTGCGGCAAAGCGAGGGGGACGAACCTTCCATGAGGACCTCCTTGACCATCTCGCACAGCTGTTTCATGACGGACTCGGGGAGATAATGGCATTGTTTTGCCTCCTCAAGCCATTCGTCCAGCCCAGCACCTGGCGTCAAGTTCGCCGGTCCAGGTTTGGGAACATTAGCCATGACGTATTGCCGGTCTTGTGCAGCGCGGCTGACAGACACGCGCAGGTGAGATGGGTATGGACGGGTGTGGAATCGACGAGGGCGCAAGTGGAGGGGGCGGGAGCTGGATGACCCAGACCAAGGTGTCGAGGTCAGGCGGGACAGGTGAGAAGGGTCTGTGTAAGAAGCCATCAGTAGCATGTCCTTGGGCCTCTCGGTCTTTGCTCAGTCCAGGACCTACAGGAAGATTTGACAACAGCCTCTGGGTGGCTAAAAGCTAGCTGTGCTCCTGACGATGCTCGAACAACAGTATCTTGATCAGGTCTGGAAACAGGGCGTTGAGATGGCCTACTGCACAGGTGCGATCCAATGTACACAGCAACGGCATCGGCCCAGGGTCTTGATGGGAACGCAGTCGGCACTGGGGGTTCTTCCCCTTCCGCCGCATGTTGGGCGGGTTTGGGGGGGGGTCCAGTGGGTGTATGCTTGGCTGGTCCGTGAGCCTGCCGCCGCCACACTACCCAGGTGAGTACCTAAGCTCATGGTCATGGGCGCAGGGGTTATCGGGCGTGGGGCCTGCAGATCGGGGCGACATGTGCTGGTGTGGGAAGTGGGATGGCACTTCCAGACCTGAACTCCCCCACAGTCGACAGGGAGCTCTATCGCTCTATCTGCGCTACAGTGCCACTATCACCCTTCGCAAGCCCACCCACATAGCTTCCAAAGCAACGGCTCAAAACAGATTCGCTACTTGCATTCGATATAATCGGGGGCTCTGGCCCCGTAAGCCTGCCCCAGTCTGCAGTATCTCGTTTGGAACAGGCATAGCTGTCCGCCGGCCGCACGTCAACAAAAGCCCGCGACACCAATCGGTGACGGTCCGGTTCTTACTGTCTCGTCGTCGATCACCAACGACTTCCTGGCCCCGCACGTTTCAAGTCAAAAGACCGACCGCACAACACATCGACATGGTCGCGCCCGAGGCCAAATCCGGCCCTAAGCAAGCTGGTGTTCTGCCCATCCGTCCTGCCCAGGCGCAGGGCCCGACAGACTCGTCCAGGTCTGCCAAGTCCAAAGCCGCAGCACAGGATGGCATCAAGGTCAAGGTCAGGAGACTGCCACCTGGTCTGGCCGAACATGAATTTCTCACAATCCTCGGTGACACGTGGAGGCCGGGCAACGGAAAGGTTGGCTGGTTCTCATACCACTGCGGACACATACCAAAGAGGTACGTCAATCGCAGGCATTGCTTGATGGAGACAGAAGTTGACATTATCAATGCAGCGCCTCCAAGGACTCTACTCCTGCCTTCGCCTTCCTCCAAGTCAAAGAAGGGGACCTTGAAGCTCTCGACCACGCCGTCCAGAGTGCTATTTGGGAGGACGCAAAGGGCACCTTCAACAGCCCTTCTCTCGTCGGCCCGCCTTATGTGGAGCGCTCCATCTACAAAAAAATGCCACTTGCTAAGCCCAAGAAGGACCCTAAGGAGGGTACGATTGACCAGGACGAAGACTACAAGGCGTTTTTGGCCAGCCTCGCGGAGGATCCAACCATGAAACCGGATGAGACACAAGCTGATGCCGAGGATCCTGGGAAAGGCGAAGCCGACACTAAGATTACCATCGCTCCATTGGCCCAGTTCGTCAAGGAGAATCGCGAGAAGAAGGCCAACAAGGCCAAGGAGGCCGCGGCTGCTAGAAACAGCAAGCACTCGAGACAAGAGTCCCAGGGCACCAAAGGCAAAGGCTCATCAACAGCACCGGATGAGTCTAGAAAGAAGCCAAAGGACAAGACGAGTGACAAGCCTAAGGAGACAGTGCGCATTCTCAAGAAGCAGGCTGCTACAGAGGCTGCCGCCGAGGCTGCCAAAGCTGTTGCCAAGGACATGAAGGCCGCCAGCTCCTCTTCTGATGCCGCCAGCAGTCGCCGCGCTGGTATTCAGGGTGTTGCCAACATTTTAAAGCGTGACCTCGGCCTCTCTAATGGCTCCGCTGCGAGGAAAGCGCGCCAGGAGGTAGCAAAACAGGAGGCTGCCAAGAAAGGTGACGCCGAACCGAAGGCTAAGGAGCCGAAGGGCAAGGACGGTGGATCTAAGGCCCCAGCAGCAGCAGAGCAGCCTGCACAAGCAACAGATCGACCTGCGACGCCCACGGCTCCAAAAGCACAGGCGGAGAAGTCCTCGAGGTCAGGGCGGAGCCGGAGGGGAAAGGAGACCAAGTCGTCCGACTCTAAAACCGGAGGGCCCGCAGATGCTCCAGCGCCGGCACCTAATGCCCCCGTCATACTACAGAAGAAGAAGGACGATAGTCCTACGGCTTCCGCAGATAAGCAATCGTCAAATAATGCCAAGGCCGTCACTAAGCAAGGTTCTTCCTCGGCAGCACCGACTCCTCCGACTGGCCCGAAGGCAGCATCCGCAAAGGGAGGTCAGCCTGGAGGTTCCCAGAAGAAGAGCAGCAACCCAGCGCCAGCAGCCTCTTCCACGCGTGCGTTCCTTAAGCATGCCAATCCGTCCCAGGGCGTGACCGAGGCCCTGCTGAAGGAGGCAATGCAAGTTTTTGGTGGCATCAGCCTTGTCGAGATCGACCGTCGCAAGGGTTTCGCATACGTGGATTTCACAGAGCACGCAGGACTGGTCAAAGCAATGGCCGCCAGTCCTGTCGCTGTCGCTCAGGCAACCGTACAAGTTCTCGAGCGTAAGGACCAGGGCTCCAAGAAGGCTGCCAGTACACCAAGCAACCAGGCTCAGCCCGGCACTACCAACAGCAGTAACAACACAGTTGCAGCTTCTGCAGCCCAAGGCGCTGCTAATCTGTCGACTGCTCCATCGTCTAATGCAGATAAGAGCGGCAACGGAACGACTAGCGAGCAACAGCAAGCTAAGCGTAGCCGACGACGTGGCCGCGGCAGAGGAGGAAATGCAGGCGGCGGCGGCGGCGGCGCTGCTAACAGCGAGGTAAAGGCGGAGACCGGCGCTGGATCTTCTACACCGGCAGCTACGGATGCTGGAGGGCCCGGTACTGGCTGAAAGATCGGGACATTCGTGGTTCAATTACTCGGTCTGTCTGACTGGCCGGATGGCCAGCCCATCCGGGTCTTGCAGAGGCCGATCAGGGTTGTCCGACCGCTGCCAGACCATTGAGCTTGATCGATCGAGGTCCAGCCTAGTAATCAGCGAGTTTGTTTCATGTACCCAGCAGTGTTATTGTACGCCCGCCGGTGTCAACGATATCGCCGTATGATCCTCAACCTCATGGGATGGAACTTACAATCATCGGAGCGGCCACTCGCTGGGCAGATTTGGTGGAGGGAAGTGCTCAGCAGCACTCATCGCTCCTACTGGCAGAAATTAAACCTCCTTCGGGTTGCAGAGAGATGGTATTATGTGGGTGCTCTGTTCTGACCGAGTTCAGCCTGGGCAAATACCCAATTCCCCAGCCGTCCATAGCGTTTAGTGAGATGACAGTCATTGATGCGCACATACGCGCTCTTCCGCTCCTCCTAGACGCTGCCGATCTCTTGTGCCCTCTCCTATGCCCACATTCCCTAGTAACATGCGCAGCGGGTCTCTCGGGCAAAAGTGGTGACATGCTTTACCACAACTTCCAGCCTGGCTGCCCCTATATCCTTCTAAACTTGCCGCTATCGATACAGCCTCGCGGCCCGAACAGACAAGCCCACGTCCTTGGTGTAACAAGTGGTGTTGACGTCACCTTGCCTTGAAGCAATGTCGATCTGGGAACACCTACCGCACCGGGAGAAGTCAGGGCACTCGTCAGTCACCCCGGGTTAAGCGACAGGCAGACATGATGCGTTGTATAATCTGCCAGGGATATTGCAACCAGACTTGATTTGCAATCTTCGGTCGTTGCCTGGATGACGCGATGGTCTGCCTGCCCTTTGCTTCCCCCCATTGGGATTCTTTTGGTATTCTTGTCCAGCTTTTCCAGCCATTTTCCTTCTTTCAAAACTCCTTGCTGTCTTTTACATCATCTTCATTCATCCACTGTCATGTTTCATGCAGCACCGGGTGTATGCTTGGGTAGTGAAGCTATAATGTCCATTTTGGGAATCTGAGCCATTCATAAGAGGTATCTGTCTAACTAGGAAGGGCTGTGGTGTGGTGATATCTATCCTGTGAAACCAAACGAGGAAGGAAGAGAGAAGTAGAAAAGGTGGTATCATATTTCCCAAAAGAGCCCCGTTCCAAGCCTGCCGTACCCCAGATAGCAGGACTTATGTCTCCCAAACAAATCCCACTTGCCCGTTCACTTAACCTGGGCGCCCTGACCAGAACTCCGTGAAAAATCCAAAGTGATAAGGAACCTTTTTTCCAATTTGACCGAGCCGTCAGACTTGAGAGACCTGAGAACAAATGAAACATGCATCATGCGCCAGTGCTCCCGACCGTCAGGACCTGCAGGCCGTCCGGGACTAGGGGTCAACAGGTGACGTATGTGGGGTCGTCAGCAGTATGTGTGTGTGTGTGTGTATGTGTGTGTGTTTGCACCAGGGTGTGGGCACGGTGTGACAAGAGGGGCCGTCTTGCAGCAAAACACCAGCCTCAGAAAGGCCCCAGGGGAGTGAGTCCACCACTGTGAGCAAGTTGTTTGGTTCTTAGGCACCGAGATTTGCCCGAATACCTGGTTGCCTCCAGATTTGTGCAATAGAGCACCAATGACCAGAGCCTGGGGCGACGTGGGGGTTCATGCTCGTGTGTCTGGTATATGTAGGAAGCGGGCCGGGTTCGTCAGTTGAACGTGTTGTTCCATGGTTTGGTGATTAAATCATGTGAACAGAGTGATGACGCCGTCCACCTTTTGGTGGTGAGTTCCAGCTCCCGCGTGCAATGACAATGATGTGCGCATGAGCGACCAAAACCAACTTCTCCCTTGGCCAGTCGTCTATTTTTCAGCTGATAGTTGAGGGGGGGTGGGCAAGGGTGGCGCTCCAGCTGAAGAAGGATCAGGGAGGATCGAGGCTGCTCCGTGAGCCTCGGGGCTGGCTCACCCTCAGGACAGAGCCTCACATGTCAATCAGAGAGGGTGAGGGTGATAGTTCCCATCCTCGTAGTTGGCTGTTGGAGACATGAGCCCGTCGTACCTATAAAAGACAGTGGGCCGCTCCATGCCGGCACTTCGAGGTGTCGAGGAATAGGCTGGGTCCTGGTAATGGGCGATGGCTGGCTGGCCAGTCTGGGCCATGGCGACGGGTCCATCGAAGCGGCGTCCAGGGCTGGCTGCGCTTGGCTGTGGTGTCGGTATCGACACGGTTGGTCGCGCAGCGCGAGGTCCGAGGGGCTCGACATAAGGTCTGTCGGCGTAGGCGGCACTGCTCAGGCGGCGACTGGTGGTCCTGGGGGCCCTGGAACTTGATCGCTTGGAGGAGCTGGCATCACTCGAAGTCTCGCTGCGCTCGAAGCGGCCCTTGAGGCGATCCTTTTGTTGCTCGACATCTGCGTCCTTGGACCGCCTGCTCTCGCTCCGGTGCAGCTTGCCGCTCTTGGGAGAGGGTGTGGTGGCAGCCCGGGCCTCGGAGTCCCGTGGCTTCTTCTGCAGCCTCTCGTTGCTGTTTCGCAGGCCGTCATTCTCGACCTGCAGCGCTGCGAGACGGGCCTCCAGGTCCTTGTGGGCGTCTCTCAGCTTCTTCTTGTCCCGCAGCAGGTCCTTCTTCTCCTCCTCCAGGTTGTCGCACCGGTTCTTGACAGCCAGCAGGTTGGCATCGGCCAGTCTGAGCTTCTTGGTGAGCTGCCTTTCGACCTCTTGGGCCTTTGCCTTCCACTCATCGACCTGCTTCACGGTGTCTTGCAGGGCCTGTTTTAGAGCCTGTTGCTCGTACAGGGTCTCTGTGTAATGATCAGGATATGCTGTGCCCGAATGGTTTGAACTCGTGCTCGACGAACCAGCGCCCGATTCACTCCTGGATGCCGAGGAACGGGAGGACCCACTGCGGGAGGTGTCCTCGCCGAACCTGACAGTCTTGCGCGAAGTGTCGCTCGGCATGGTGCCCGGGCGAGGCCCGAGTTTTTAATATGGGTTTGCCGGCCGCCTGGTCCGGGGCTGGCGGTCGTGGGCGGAACGCAGACGCAGGAACTCAGAGAGGAGCCCGCACGTGTCCCTCGTTGATTTGGCCAAATACTGGCTGGAGAAAACTGCACGAGTGCCCAACCTAGGAGGGATTCCGGGAACGTGAGGCGATCAGAGTATTTAACTCGGGCGAATTGGGCAGTGCCGGGCCCCAGGCTAGTTAGACAAGGCTGTGGGTAATACGGCGTCTCAGTGGGAGCATTAGGCTGCAAGCAAGGTGGTTAAAAGCCAGGGGTGGTCGCAGCCCAACCGGGGCTGGCTGGGTGTGGTGTGGACGGACGGGATGGAAATATATAATAACCTCGAGGCCCGAAAATACCGAGTCTCCCTTGTAAGAAATGGTGTTCTGGTGGAGACAAAGTCTAGACAATGGACGCCCGAGGAGGAGAGGAGGACCTGAGCAAAGAAAGAAACAAGGAAAAGGCCTTGTCACGGAACGGAAGTGCATTTATTTCCCAAAGGAGGGAGGGCATGAGGGAGGGAGGGCAGTCAATGAGCCTCACGGCTGCCCGCCCGCCTGCCTGGCCCAGGTACAACATCACTGCCTGCTGCCTCGGGGCTCAAGTGCCATGCGCGGACAGGGGGGTTGTGGGAAGTGGATTAAAGAATCTGGGTGACTCCAAGGCTGCCTTACAGCACTTGAGCACTTGCGCAGCAAGGCAGAGACGCAAGAGACGAGGTGGGTGGGTGGGCAGGGGTGCGAAGTGCCAACGGGCGGTGGCTTTTCCCTTGCACTGCATCCTGCACTAACACTTAGGCCCTCTCACACCTTACAAGTGCTGCACACTCACTGGGGCTGAGCTTAGGCTGTCTCCCCTTCCGACCACCTAGGTTGCGAGGTACTATGTACTCACAACCACCGAGCAACAACCACCGAGCACCCGCCAGCAGGCCCCACAAGCACCGGACACGGTGCCCGGGGCCACTTCGGCCTCCGACGCCGGGACACGGAACGGCCAACGGTTCTCCCGCTACTCTTGCAACAAAAATCCCATAAAAAAAGTCCAAAATAATACTAGTAATATTATACAATATTTCCGGCCGGTGTGTCACGTGCAGTTGGTAATGCAAATGAGCATCCTTCATGGCGCAATTGGCTAGCGCGTCTGACTGTTAATCAGGAGGTTGGTGGTTCGAGCCCACCTGAAGGAGTTCTTTTTTGACCGCCTTATCTATGGATTATTTTTTAATTAATTTCTTTCTTTTTTACCTAAAACAAATTCCCGCACAAAATATCCAAAATGTATGTCAGAGAGACAAAAAGAACTCCTTCAGGTGGGCTCGAACCACCAACCTCCTGATTAACAGTCAGACGCGCTAGCCAATTGCGCCATGAAGGATGCTCATTTGAACAGGGCTAATTGCGCCTGCTCGTTCGTGAATTCCTGCGGTGAAAGCTAAACTATATTCTGAAGGATAATAAAACTTCCTTTTCTTTTATAATAAAAGAATATCTTATTTTAATTTTAAGTTTTTATTAAATTATAATTAATAAAATTCAATTTTTTAAAAAAATTAATATATATTTTATAAGTAATATTTATTAGGATTAACCCTTTTATCTCTAATTATTTTATTATATCTTTTAATATTAAGGTATAAAGGTAGTTCGACTAGGTGGTTCGCCGTGAGAGCCATTACAGCTCGATCGACTCCTAGCACAAAAGCCGGGGTGGGATGGTAGGGCACTTGAGTCGGTACATGGGTACGTTGGCACGTCACTGGGGCTGCTGTCATTAGCCGTCGAGGTGCGTCTGCAGCCTGCTTGGCCTCGTCCTGTGCGGCGCGCTACTGGGCAATCCGACGTCGTGGAGGAGGGTTCTCGGAGCAGGTGAGCAGGTGACTCACGATCGCTGCGAACGTCACCCCATGCGCGTGGCATGACTCCTATACATAGACCTGTCTACAAGGTCTTGTCTGGTCTTGATTGTCAGGGCCAAAGACAGAAAGAACAATGGAGGGGAGGCTTCCCGAGATGGCGCCAGCGGTTGCACGGCCAGGCCCGGGTGATGGTGGCCCTGGAGACAAGAGAAACGGAACGATTTAACATGTCTGCGGTATAGCAACAAGAACATGGTCAGAGCAGGCCAGAGACAAGGCGCATATAGATTGTTACGAGAGGGTGCAAAGTGTAGGGCCAATGTGTAAAAACTGCTGAAGCAGAGTGCACACTGCCCCGCTGACAGGGGGGCCCCTGTCTGCTCTGCCTTACACCCGATTCGGCAAGTGGGCCTACCAAGCATGTACAATGTACTGTGTAGCGGGCTGTCCCCTGAGAGAACAACCACAGCATTGCCGGACTCCAGTGACGACAGCCTTATGAGGATTCAAGCGGGCGTCGAGGCCAGGGTGGGACCCTGCGGCTGGTTGCTCGGTTGCTCGGGACATCAGAAACAGGTAAAAGGGCACGGAAGCGCCCGAGGAACCAGATCGCCGGCCCAACCTGCCAACTCGGAATGACACACAGACGCTGCCGTCACTTGTTGTTGATCGAGTTTCGAGCCAGCGAGCCAAGCCCAAATATGACCTGTCAGCGGCCACATCGACCGTGGATCGCGCCGTCACCACCCCCATCTCCCCGTCTCCCCATATCACCTTCTGCCACGAACTCGGCCGTGACAGGTCCGAGGCTGCAGTCGACGACGGCATCCCGCAGCCAGGGTGTGAACGACGGAAGGGGTGGGTGGGCAGAAGATGATGCCCTGTGGCCAGGTAGTGCGCGCACCACAAGAACCCCGCCTCCTAATTCGCGCCGGATCGTCCACGTTCTGCCTGGCCCAGACGCTCATGTACCCAGGTGCTTTGCCATGTCGGGCCAGCAAAAAACACAAAGCTGGGAACCAAGTCTGAGGGGTGGTCCGGTCAACATATCACGCAGACATTACTGATTTGCCCGTATATCTATTCATAGAATTGAAAGGGGAAGGGGAAAAGGCAAGGGATTGGGGGGGGGACACAAAAAGAGCAAGCAAGCCCGATATACTGGGCAAAAGACATGAAACCCAAGCTTATAGCCGTCCGTTTTCCGTACTATAGTACTGTGCTTCTCCAACGCGCGTCAGCCTTGCCCAGGCGCCCGCTCAGGCTCGTCTGGACGCCCGTCGACCTTTGTACATTACAACACGGTGGGTTCAATTGTAGATTCGGGACTTGCCCATCTATATACTTAAGTAATCATGGTGAGGATCGTACTCAATACAGACCTGTCTGGTCGGGTGAGTCTCATTTTCATGGGGCACCCCAAGCCTCGGGCCGCAGTAGCGCGTGAGCGGCTCATCTGACAGCTGCGACGCCCACCCCGGGGGTTGCTCACAGGACCCCAGGCCTCATCATGCCTGAATCAGACTGCGAGAGCCCCAGAGGTCACGATCACGCTGTTCACTTTGTTTGGGGGCAGGAGGGGCAAGCGGCGGCTTGTTACCGGGCAAACTTTTCCAATCTGGGTGTTTGTCTTCATTCATAGGGCATTTCGCCCGACTGCTATGCTAGGTAGAATCCCCCACTCGGATGAAATCAAAATTCTCGAATCGAGGGAAACGAACTGTGTTGGGGTGCAAATGTTGCGAGGTCCGCAAGGTTTGCTTTGTGGCACCGATAAGAGGGTCAAAAGAAAGGGGCCAAGGCATTGCTCTCTGCCCCAAACGGCAGTGGCGCCCCATCAAGCAGTTGATATGGCCTCCAGCTCACATAATCCGACATGTTATGACGGCACTGCATTTGGTGCAGGCTGGAACGAATCTTGGGCTGTCAGCTATGTGATGAGAAATCACTTTTGGAATTGGAGGTATAGATAGACTCACCCTAGAATCCATCAACCATGGTTATTCCAAGCAACAAGACCTGCGAAGGAAATCCTGACGACGCCAATCTGCCTCAGATCCAGAGATTCTCCATACGGGCGCGGAACAGTGCTGCGAGTACTAACGTCCCACAGGGCCGGTGACAACATTCTCACCGCAGCCCATGCTGACGCAGGATGGCTTTGTATCGGTCGACGTCCCTCATCGCCTTCCTCTCATTTCGTGCCCGTAGTTCGCACGCCTCCTCAAGGCGTCGGTTCCGGTCGGTAGCCACTGCAAGATCGTTCTTTAGCCCATCGACTGTGTAACTTAGCTTGTCGTACCGTCGCCGCCAAGTACTAATCTCCTCCATGAGCTTTCTCGCGCCGTTGCCGACGCCGTCACGGATATCTCGCTCCAGACTGCGTATGTGGGCCATCAGCGAGTCGTTCTCGTTGATCAGCTTGGTGTTCTTGTTTCGTAGCCTCCTCATCGCATCTTCGCTGGAGCTACCGGCGCGGTGGTGGTGGTGGTGGTGGTCAAAACTCCTCCTCAGCTCATGGTTCTCATACTCGAGGTTGCGGATCGTGGCCTCTAGGGAGGGCACGCGGGCCTGCAGCCTGCGCAGATCGTCGCTGCAGGTTGTCCAGTTGGCCTTGAGAGCATGGTTCTCCCGGCGCAGAGCCTCGTTTTCCTGACTCAGATCGTTCTCGCGCGCCAAGAGGAGGTTATATTCTTCTCGCGTAACATCGAGGAAGTCGACCCGGCGGCCGCGGGAGGACTGGCTGCTCGCATCGTGGGGGTTGGAGTGCGAACGCCTCAAGGAAGCCTTGACGAAGCGACGGTGTCCAGATGGGAGGGTCTCGACCCAGTAGTCTCTAGCCATACGCCAGTCGATGTTGTTCTCCTTCTGTCAAGGTTTTGACCTCGTCCTATCGGCGTCTGTGGGCAGTGTGCTTGGTGGGCGTTGAGGTGAGAACTGCTTTCTGAGATTTCGGTGAGGCCAGCAAGACGAGCACAGTCTGGGAATAAAATTGTTCTGCCAGTCAAGTCGCTGGTATTGGGAGAACAAAGAGGTCCTCAAGCTGATGGTGTTGGCTGAGCGGAAGGAGGAGGGCAAAAGGCAAGGCGGGCTTTCAAGACGGTTGTAGCTAGACCGGTACAGGGAGCAACGGGCCTGACAATGGAAGTGGAGTAGGTGCTGTGGATGCAAGTAATAGTTGCATATATGTCTTGACAGTTGGGAATGGCGAATGGCAGAAGAGACGAGGCAGCAAGCCAGGGGTTGCAACGGGGACGGCTCGCTTTTTAGCATCTTGGTCAGTCCTGACGGCAGTTCCCAGGCATCCTCATAGGGCTTGGGCAGGCGAGGGCTCCCGCAAAGCGCAAAGCGCCTCAGCATACTGTGATATGATCAGGGGAGAAAGGTGTGGCAGCATGAGGCTGGCGTGTTTGGTGGTGGCAGGCTCAAAGCTGCCGGGAACACACCACGAGGGTCAATCAGCCACGGCCCAGCAGTCATGACGGCCGATGAGCAACACCTCCATGAGCCCTCTATGAACAGAGCATAGCCAGGATGTTGGGCCTCAGCTTCGAGGCCGATCTAATCTCAGGGCCCGGGGGGAGGGTGCCGGCTGTGACAAGAAGGCGAGGGAAACAAACAAGCCCTGGGGCCGAGGAAATGGGATGCCTCGAGGCCGAGTCTTGAGGAAAAGTGTAGATAGCCAGTCAAGGATGACCCAGCCCCGACGTGGTCCCTTTGTTTGCAGGCCTGACTGTTGGCCATAAGCCATGTGGCCCAAACACCACAAGGATGAGGTCATGGGAAACGAGGCCCCTGGCCGAGCCCAGGGAGGAGGTACCTGATGACTTAGCCATGTTTCCCTCCCTCGCGCAGGACAAAGAATCGAAGATATACTTGGCTAGATACAGTCATCTTGTTGGTATGGGGTAGGACAGGGTCTCACGCCCCCAGCATACGGCGCTCGAGCATTGTGGTTGCGGATGTGGGCCACGAGCTTTCACGGACAGGCGCTGAAACCAATGGCGACGTGACCGAGCCGCGACAGCGTGGGAGGTCGTGAGCGACGCTTGACGGGCCAGTCGGCAGTCAGAGAAAGGGCGAAGGCTAACTGACAAGAGCTCGGAGGCCTGCAGGTCCCGCGCTTCTTGGGTGGATAAAGTGGACCCCCTGACACAAGAGGTAGCGCGAGTGCAGGGAACAGCTGGACAGTGCACCTGCCCACCCCACCCCACCCCACCCCATCACTTCCTTCCCTAGATTTCATCCTCCCGCGGCTGAACCTCAGCCAAAGCCTCATCCAACGAAGGATTCGTGGCTGCTTGCGTTGGTTGAGGCCTCGACACCCGGGAAAGCACATCTACAGAAACTGCTGCCGCTTCTGCACTCTGATATTCAGTATTTACACTTTCCCTCACACACATCCACCTGCCTGCCTGCTTAGAAGGCCCCTTGCCCAGGCAGAGGATCATTGACCTCGGGACAGGCGCTGTCAAACACGCCTGGGTCGGCGAACTGCGGCTCTGCGCTGCCGTCGAGCCCCAGCTGTACCAGCGTGTTGCCCGTCGCATCATACGCCGGCCATCCATAATCCAGGAGGCCTTTGGCTGGATCCCTCGCAAAGGAAGCCCACGCCCCCATAACGTACGCCGACACCGCGTCCTCGTGCTCCGAGTTCTCCACCAGGGACACGTCCTGCGCCGTGCCAAACACCATCTCAACATCCGATCCATGATACGCACCGCTGCCCCTGGGCCCCAGCCCGGCCGTGGAGTTGTACAGCCTCAGATTATCCCACTCGCCGTGGTATCTGTACCTCCACGTTGGCACCAGCTGTTCCGTCCGGTACCGCGCCTGCGCTCCCGTCGGGCACGTGAAGGCGCGCTGGTTGAAGAGATCCCACCGCGCCTCGGTCAGGTTCACCTTGGCCGCCCACGCCGACAGCTTGTACCACCCGGACTCAAAGTCGGTGTTGCCCAGGAGGTATGGGATGCGTGCGAATGACCCGTTGCGCGATCTGGCCTCGTAGTCTGAGAAGACAATCTCGTCGTCAACCGTCGGGTGAAAGGTGGCTTGGGCGAGCGCTTGGCTAGGTAAGGCCGGTACTTTGGCCGACGCCGCCAGGATCGCAGAGGCGTTGGCCTGCCGGACACAGTCCACGACCGTAGCGGCATCTTCACCTGCGCCACCGCACCCAATGGCCTGGGAGACGTTGAAGAAGATGGACTGCGCATATGCCCTCGTGTTGGGGTTGAAGCTCAGTGCCGTTCCCGACTGCGATATCAGCCCTGCCACTATGGGGTCTTCCTCCCACGCGAATGCCGAATAGTCCACAGCTGCACCCCCAGCACTCTGGCCGAATATTGTTATTCGTGCTGGATCGCCGCCAAAGCTCTCCTAATCAAATTGTCCACGGTGGTCAGCCACTGAAGCACCGTGGCATCAGCTTCATGCAGTATTGCCGTAGGGCCCTCTCAGACCCGCAGCTGAACAGACACTTGGCATACAGCCTGAGATAGAGGGGACTCTTCTCAAGAGGGGTGGGATTGCATCAAAAGCTGCTCACAATGTTGTCCCGGACCCACTCCACGACAGAGCGATGGTCTCGCAGCGCGGCGTTCTGTTGCAACCCCGGCGCACCTGAGAAGCCGAATATTCCAAGACGGTAGTTTGGTGTTACAACAACGACGTCCTCGGCTGCTGATAAGTATTGACCATTGTAGAACGGACTGTGTGGGCCAGGTATCTGGAAGCCTGTAGATGGCGATTAGCACACAACATGACAGCCTTGGCGGTACCTCATATTAGAATCACTGACGTCCACCATGGAACCAGATGAGCACAGGCTCCCTCGCCGAATTGTTTGGTGTCTTGGTCCAGATATTCAGACCGAGACAATCCTCACTTGAAGGGTTGCCCGTCTGCGCAGCAAACATGTTCCATACACGGAAGCCCGAGGGCTCGGAGAAGTTCGGGAACTGGCTGACGGGCGGTTTGTTCGAAAGGCAGTCTGGGGCCCAGTCCGAAGCATTGTAGACAGTGCCGGCTGGGGCGTTGTACCGCTTTGGTGGAGCAAAGCGGAGGTCCCCAACAGGTGGCTCTGCATAGCGGATGCCGAGGAACTCTGTCACTTCTGACCGATTTGGTGCAGCGTGGCCGACGATGAGTCCGCTGGTGGTATTTGCTGTCGGCCAAGATGGATCCAGACCCGCGAGTGCCGGGGCGGGGCCGAGCATCAGTGCCGCTGCGACGCCCAATATCCTCGCCATGGCGGGCTCAGGATTCGCGGGCGTTATCAAAAGCTTGTTGCTGCAGTGTTGTCAATGGACAGATGTAGAGGAAGGACGCTGGGGGAATGGAAATGCTTACCAGAGTTGCAGCTTTATCAAGACCCCCTTAGCAAGCCCGGCGACAAGGATCAATTTGTCGCATGGATTCCATTGACCGCCTCGATCTGCCGAGCAGATGGAAGGATTCAGCACTTCTTAGCTAGCGCACTGGAGAAACCGGGGCCGTCCACTCAAGCGGGATATGTTCATGAACAAATCTGCTTGGGAGCTTTGGTTGTATCATTTTGCAGTTAGCTTACTTGGACCGCAATTGCGCTGGCTGTCACAGTCAAAACTCTGACTAGGTACCCAACTGGTCTCGTTTCTATCCCGCATACGTCCGAACACAATACAGTGGTAAACACTCAAATACCCAGCGTGGGGGGCGGAAAACAATACAATGCCGATAACAGTGGTATAAATGCGAGAGGTGCTAGGTACCCAAGTAGGTGCATATTCTGGGAACCACTACGCGTTCGAGGCATGTATCCTTTTGTTACAGAACCTATGATCATGTTCCCATTAAACTGGGGATTTCACGGGAATTGCCTATGGTAATTTCTACATTAAAATACGTCGTGTGCGGGTATCTTTCGTCAACATGCAAATGTGCATATATCTCAGATGAAACCTTTGTCCGTCCAGCTGGTTCCATCCCACCAGACCTCCTTGATTCTGCCCCTGACAACAAAATAGCACTTATTCATATTATCGGAAACCTCCAGCGGCTTAACTCCATAGCCATCCCATGTCGTCGCAGCTGTTAGACATGCCAATCCGCCTGCGTCAGCTCCATCAAATACAGGATCTGTCGCTGTGTCCTCCCATCCTGACGAAGTACCACTCCACGTGTATGTTATGTCTCCACCGGGAACATCCTGCAACAGTATCATTGTGTTTAGATCGCTTGTTCCCACGGATCGCGCCGTCGCGAAGCCAGCAATATTGCTGTTCTCGCCGACGGTTCCAAACGGCAACGCAGGCTCCTCGTCTGTATCGTACACCGCGACGGAATCGGGTGATCGCTCGAACACGGCTATCTGTCCGTCCGTCTCCCTCCTGAAGAACAGCCGCAACTCATTGCCGGAGTGGCCCTTTGTCCGTGGAAGGGCCAGCAGCGGCGTCTCTGTAGCGGGTGTGATGGGGAGCGCCTTCAGGTCCGTGTATGTCCCGTGTAGGGTCGTTTCCGACACAGAGCCATTGCTTTGCTGGATGTAGAAACTCGGTGCGAACCCGGCAATTGAACTCTCGCCTGCGGCAGAGAACTTCGTGTCGTCTATCAAAGTACCGACACCTTCGGATGGCCAGCCAGGCCTCCTGTGTTTTGGAGTCAGCATTTACACGGGGCCCGGAGTCGCCTGAGGCTGGCTACCTTGATACAAGCCCCAAGCCCGTCAACGCGTAGGTGTCAAAAGCCCATGCGTCTTTTGAAAGGGGGCAGAAGTGTTTCGAGGTCAGACATACCAAGCCACGCCTTTCAGATTTCCCGAGGTATCCTGATACACAAGTTGTGGCTGCGGTTCAGGTGGTTTCCCTGTGCTCCTGGCCCACAGCAGCGTCGTCGCCGAGAGCGCGGTGCCGGCCACGGCACCCTCCTCCAAAGACAGCATCCTAGGCCCTGCCCACTCCCCGTACATTGTGTCGTACACGACATAATGAAGCGTGTCATCACTTCCTTGAAAGTACAGCCAGATTATGTGCTCATTGCCGTATCGCCACCCGGTTGCCGCGAGAGCACTGCCGTTCCGAACCACGCTCGCTGACGTTAACGTGCCATTTGAAACACGACCGCTGCCTGGACCGGGGGTTGACGATGTGCTCGAGTTTGTGCTTGAGCCAGAGGTGCCGGAATTGTCGTCGTCACTGCTTGCCGAGGTGCCACGCGCATCGAGGCGCTGTTCTGTGACTTGCCAACCCACAATTCCCCCGATAATCCCCGAGATGACCGCTATCAATACAGCACTTCCGATCAATATGACCTTTGCCTTCCCACTCCAAGGTTTTGGCGCATCGTTAGACCAGGCCGCTGCACTGTGGTGTGTGTTGTACTGCCGGCCAGTAGCTATGTACTGCTCTTTCTGCGGAACTGATTCTGTAAGTCGATAAGGCACAGACTCCAGATTGGACTCTGGCACCACTTCTGGGTCGTTGGAATAGTTCTGTCGCTGATGGCGATTCATCATCACGGCTCCATGGCTGGCGCCCAGACGCCTGGGCAGCCAGATTTCACCCAGCAGGTCAGGCTCAACCTCTGTTTTGGACTTCTCCGTCTTGATTTCCCCGCGATTCAACCTCGCAGGTCATTCAAAAAATGGCGCGCGCGGTATGATGGTGTCTATAGGCAGAGCGTCGGTTGACTCCACCTCAGAAAGTTCGAGGTAAGAGTCCGAGCAGCACACCATGAGAGCAAGGGGATAGGCCCTGTCTTGCTTTTGAGAGGACATGGAAAGCGGGAATAAGATCCATTCAACCTTGATTTCATCACATTTCCACTTCCGCCTGTCAAACACGAGTTCCGTTTTGGCATTCTTGGTCCACTTAGCTGTGGGTTCCTTAATTTGAGAGCAGAACTTTTGATAGGCCATTGGTGAATCCCACCTGCACGGCAAGGGGTCTCTTGCTGACCACATCCAGGCTAAGTGATATTATATGCTGGCCAAGCCACTACTTTGGAAGGATTGAGGGTCGCACAACCTTGGTCTGATCCGTCTCTCGGGCCCCCTGACACCAGGCAGAAGGCAAATTCGGGAATCCGGATGGGAGCCGCTTTCGCCATATTGAGAGAAGGTTGCACTTTGGTCGTAAAATTCGGTCTCTTCTATCTTCTTTTCTGCTCTTCGAGTTTAGGTCTGCTTGTATAGTTCGTCTTGGCTTAAACATATCAGCTGTAGAGTTGAGTCTTGCTGTCTGGGTATGACTATTCATGCGAGCAGATGGTAGCTTGTTTTATTTATACTCATTCTCTTCAATCACAATCAAGAAGCTCTGTTGCACCCATCGGAGGAGTACAGACTGTAGTTTTGAAGTAGGTGGTATTGTGATGACACAACTATTATTTGATATATTGCCGCAACCTGAATGATCCATTGATGTTGGCTTTCTTTTTGATGCTGATGTTGCAATGCAGTGGCTACTGCAAGATCATGTAGATCTCGTTATATGTCGCTAGGAAGAAAGCGGGAGACGTGCATGCGATACTACACGTGGATGATCATCGAGATTGTGTGCTCGGTTTAGTCCAGGTACCCGAATTCTGCATTATCTGATGGGCACATGAACAAGGTGTCGTGTTTTGAGCTTCATCTCTCAAACGCCTGATTAGATATCATAATTCAAATTTCGCACTAGGATCAATCACAGCTATCGTAGTTGATGTTGTCATGGGATCATGTATTCGGCCCATCAAGACAGATTATAGAGTAGTGCAAGTATTTTGACGGGGTGTGCTGGACGGTCTGGCGGCAAGAATCGCCATAGATCGGCGACCTTGGGTGCCAAGCTCGAGGACATCCCCCATAGAGCCACTGCCAGTGAATTTGCTGAGCTGGCCGAATTAGCGATTATATCTATTTACAGATGAAACGATATTCACTTTAAGTGCTGTGCCTATCGGAGGTGACTAAAACCTGAGCTGCTCAGTCATTTCCGGCGAGGTAATAAACCGACACCGCTCTGCCAACCTCTGCTGCCCTAGCGCTGGTGATGCGCCAGGTCCACTCACGGCAGAGAGACCTTCGTCCGGACCGCCAGCCACGAAGACATATGACTGTCCGGCCTCATTATAAGCCGGGCCGAACCCCTGGAACGTCTCACGCCCCTCCACGCTGGGCGAGCCGGTGCTCACGAACGAGGACCACGACCTCGATCCCCGGCGGAGCAGCCCGTAGTCGGACTCGTCCGGGGCGAACGGGTACCCGTGTATGTCGTAGTGCGAAAGGTTTCCAAAGACATAGGCCAGCTCCGAGGTGTGCACAATGCCGAGCCCGGGCCAGCCCATGAACTCAAGGATCGGCTCCAGCAGCGATTGGTTCCAGGCGTAATGGTAGACGTCAACGTCGACGGAAGCAGCAAGGTTCTCACCGTACCAAAAAGGCGGACACGTCATCAGGATGTCGCGCAAGACCCTCGAGGCTCGATAGAACTCGGCCGAGAGGTTCGCTGCCGGATTTGCCGCGAAGTCAGAAACAGGGTACAGTGCAAGCAGCGCGTCCACGCTCGCAGCTGTCAGTCCTGGCGCATATGATAAGAAGAAGTCCCTCGTGTCGTTTGGTGTCTGTATGCTCGGCTCCGTGAGATACGAGACGTCGTCCTCAGTCCAACCTATCATGGCCGTCACCCTGGCGAATCTGCCCTGTCTGATGAGCTCGGAGGGTGCGGCAGGGAGAAAGTCACCGTCTACCGCTGGCAGCCAGATGTCGCCAATGTTATGAGCTGTGTCGGCGATATATGTGACTAGTGAGGCGTCCATAAGGGTGTCCATATCGAAGCCCCTCAGACAGTCCACAGTCTGTTCCGAATCGAGGGCGGTGGCGTTACAACCTAAGTAGTCTACAAGGAGCTGCATGGCGTCGGTCGTGAAGTTCCCCGTGATCCCCGGCTCGAGAGCCTGGCTCTCGCAGATGGCTTGTTGGAATGCGACTGGCTTGCTGCCCCCGTATGCCATGAGCTGCATTCCCACGGACAATCCTGACCACGATCGGTCAGTACTTGGTCGCCCACTGGAATTCTACTATATATATGTATTGTACTGAGCATACCTCCGGTTGACTGCCCAGCGATGGTAATGTTGTCGGAACTGCCTCCCCAATACTCAATGTGGTCTCGTACCCATTCGATCGCGAGTCTCTGGTCCTTGAGTCCAGCGTTCTCCGAGCCTTCCGACTTGAGGGCCGCTGATCGTGCGAAGCCGAAGACACCCAGGCGGTAGTTCAGAGCTACATGGATAATGGGAAGTCCATTCTCAACGGACTCCAATATTAAGCCATCGGGCGCTACCGTGATCTCGCTGTTTTGTCCTGACCAGAAGCTCCCGCCGTGGATCCAGACCATGACAGGCAGCTTATCCCCGGCAACAGTCCCCCGTGGCCTCGCAATATTCAGGTTGAGGCAGTCCTCCGAGGTGTCTGTGACGTTTCCCAGGGAAAATGGCGTGCCGAGCTCATCACCAAGTGGCTGAGGGCACGAGGGACCATACGACTGCGCGATGACCTGGCTGCCTTTTCGAGGGGTGTACGGTCTTGGGGGTTTGAATCGATGCTCACCACCTGTGTCTTGTCCGTAAGGGATGTTCAGGAATACCTCGATCCCATTGCGGTCAAGACCCCTGTAAGTGACGTTGGTTACAGTATCCAAAGCCGTGGGTACTGCGGCCGCGACGGTACTAGTCCCCAGCAGCTGGAGCCCGCAGTACACTAATATTGCCTTCATCTTTGCTGCCTTTGACGAAACTACTCGCAAAGGCAAGCGAGAAGAACGGGGCTTGAGAAAATGAGAGCCAAGTACCAGCAAGAAGGAGAGACGGATACTCAGCAAGGAAGAGAGGAGGGGTGGGGAGATTTAGAGACAAGCAAAAGAAAAGAAAATGGAAACTCTTCGGGAAAAAGTCAGACCGGGATACCAATGAATGAATGGGGCAGCGGGTAAAAATCGGGGAGGGTCCCCATAGATCCCAATCAGGGACTGGCCGCGACGCGAAGCTATCGTCACGCCCAACAGGACGGATAGTCCCGCTTGGACCAAGGATTCCCCCGTATTCTACTTCATACGTATATGAGTGGTGCCGTTGGTCAGAAAATTGCGTGTCAAATATTGGGCTATCCAGTACAAGCGAGCTTTCGGCCACGAGTGGTCAACTCATAAATTTGTACTTAGTAGCGGTACGCGCGTCCTCCAGCCCTCTGCAGCCATGATGGGGCTGGCCGGCCTCTCGCTGTTAGTTTGGTCATAACATGTGTAGCAGCCAATTCGAGTGTCATGCATCCTACGAAGACTTGGATACAGTTGCGGGCGCGGGCGCTCTCCCAAAGGTGAGCGAGCCAACGTCGAGGGGCTTTGTTTGGTCTCTGTTGTTGTCAAACTGGCAAGGATAGCCACCTCGCTCCATACATGATCGCTAACGCCGCACAAGTGCTTGTTTTGGGTTTCGCTTTTCTGCTCCTTTTTTTCTGTTCTCCGCATGGGAGAACTGGTGAATCAGATCTAACCTCCCAACTCCGGAGATCAAGGTGCGGTCGTTTCCTTACCCGTGCCGCAGGCATGCCACTCCTCCTAACGCCAAAGATGATCAGAAATACGATTGATGCTTGAGTTTCAAAAGCCTCATCGAAGGAATAGGCCTCAAATGTGCTTTGTCTCGCTCAGTCATGCGGGAAAAGTGCACTGATGGATTCACCATGGTGCACCCGCCTGATGGCCTCGGCGAACACATGGGAGACGTCTAGCACCTCGAGCTTGGGGCAGGCGGCCTTGTGACCGTGCTGGGGCACGGAATTGGTAACAATGATCTTGTCGATGGATGAAGCATTGATGCGCTCAATGGCATCGCCGCTGAGGATACCATGTGTGACAAGCGCGTAGACGGTGGTGGCACCGTCCTTCTTGAGAAGCTTCGCAGCCCTCGTGATGGTGTTGGCCGTATCGGCCAAATCGTCGACCAGAATACACGGCCGGTTCGTGACATCACCGACGAGCATCATGGTGGCATTTTGGCGTTCCGAGATCCTGGTTGGGCGACGCTCCTTCAACATCTTGTCAGTGACCGCCAAGCATGGACACGTGCCTGTCGAGAGGGCCTACCTTGTGAATCAGGGCGAAGCTCAGGCCCAGGCGATCAGCGATGGCGGTCGCACGCTTTGCGCCTCCAGCATCCGGGCTGACGATGACAGCGTCTCGGTAGCCGGGGATGTTGCGTTCAATATACCGCTGCAGCAACGGTTTTCCGTAGAGGTTATCCACGGGAATGTCAAAGAATCCTTGGTACCTTGGGACGAATCCAGCGTCAGTACCAGCCGCCCGCCGAGATCGGAAGAGCTAGCAGGCCGTGGCCGTTTCTGGCATAAAACCTCATAGCGGCCCGCACTTGCAGAATCAGGTACGGGACACTGGTCCGGCACCCCGAGTCGAGCCACAGCGCGTCGCATAGGAGAAGAATGGAAGCACATATCGCTGCATGCGTATGTGCATGTGTTTGTGTGTGTATGCGCACGCGCGCGCGCGAGAGAGAGAGAGAGAGAGGGAGTATACTAACTGAGGATCGTGCAAATCCATCGTGATGATCTGGGGAAGGCATAAGTTAGTGTTGAATACTAACTCCAAGATAGAAGGAAAGGAAAGAAAAGGCTTTCGCATTGGAGCCCAGAGTGGTGGACTTTTAAGAAAGAACCGACGCTTGTCTGATTCTTGGGCCGCGCAATGTGTATCAGCTCTGGTCAGGAGGCACATACATGATCCGCGCCCGCACATGTCAACAGGTCCGCCACTAAGGTCCCGGCCTGAGCGACCCATTGCTTGTAGCCCGGCTTTGCCTGGAAAGCGTTGATCATCTGGGGGTTCTCGTAGTCGTGGGTCGTGTAGTTGCCCGTGACGGAGGAGACGGACTCGGCGTGGTTGCGGCCCTTGGAACCGTCCGCACCGAATTGTGAGGCATCGCCGTTGAGGCGGCCGGCGCTGTTGCCGTTGACAAGAGCCGCCTTCGCCATCATCTTGGTGATGTCGATACCACTGCTGAGGGTGTCGCTCCTGGGCAATCCGGGGCCTGGGGTGGCAGGGACACTCTCAAAGGTATATTTGCCCGAGGTGTCGCTGGGGGCCTTGTTGAGAGGGGCGCCGGCCTTGTTGTAGGGCAGATCAGGCTGTCGGGAGTATGGGAAGAGGGGTAGCACGGCGGTGACCCGTTTGGCAGAGCCGGTCTTGCAAGCAGAGACCACTACGGAGAGTCGTCAGTAGACCGGCCAGGAGTGGGAGCAAGCTCAGAGGGGGTGGGTCTGACTGATGCAGGTTTCTATGAAGTGGTCGTTGACCTTGTCGGCAGGGTCCTGGGTGCCGGCTGTCTGTATGATGTATACATCCTTCCCACGGACAGTCTCCTTGATCTCACACCTGCTCTCACCGACCTCAAACTTGGTGAGGGTGCGATCACACTGAGGGATGCCGAGTATGTTGCAGATATTGTTGACGAGCTCCGGGTGGGAGTTGCCCCCAAGGATGACGAGATTGCGGACCATTTTCGCTCGGCGCCTCGGGCGATGCTAGGCGACACTGGGAAGAGGTGAGGGCAGTGACAGCAATGCTGTGCTAGAAAAGTCTGAAGAAACGTCTTGGGGTTTCTGGCAGAGCGCACAGGTGAGCGCAGGACCAATGTCAAGATCAAGATCGTGGGCCACCGACGTCACAAAAGTTGCCGAGGGTATGCGTGGATGACAAAAAAAAATACGAGGAGGGGTTTGAAGGTTAGGGACGAGACGAGACAACGGCAGAGGCAAGTCTTCTATGTGCAGAAGAAGTAAGAGGCCGGTAGCAGGTTGTCTCAGGGAGAATTGTCACAGGGGAATCATCGTGTCAAGGTCGGTTCGCAGCGTGAAGGAAGAGCGAGGATTGAAGACTGAGGACTGAGGACTAAGGACTGAGGACTGAGGCGAGAGGGCTGGCAGGCTAATCCTGCGACAGGCAGGCGAACGAGAAAAAATTGGATGCAGCACATTGACCCTGACCCCAGACTCAGTCTGCCTCTGCAAGCCCGTTGTTTCTGCGGGACACCGCTCCTGTCCACCAGGTACCTCTGTACAATGGAGAGCCTCGATACCACAGGCTACATACTGAGCTCGCAGCAAGGCCAGGTATTTGGGGTTAGATGTGTACAATTCTTGTCCAGCAGGACCCCACCTAGGAATTAGCGCGCTTCAGCACGAGGCACGGGTGGGGTCGGGTGATGGCTCGCCCATCATTGGCTTCCCATTGCAACATCTGGGGCTTTGCGACCTTGAGGCGCGGGGTACTCGGTACATGGCAGTGCGGCCCGGAAACGGACGAGGGTTCACACGCTGTCGCCGCGGGCAGTTCTGGGGGCCTGTTTCGAGCCGGGACAAAGTCAAGGCCAGAGTCTCATTCTGGCCGAACTCGACCGAGTGTACAGATATGTGTGTGCATGTGTGCGTGTGTGCGTGTGTGCATTGTGGCTCGTCCCTGGGTACTCCATATGTGGGGGTCGGGTCACCAAGTACATCCATGGCTAGGTACTGTGTAACAGTCAAAGCACAGTCTAGGTAGACACTTGTAGGGCTGAGCGAGTTGAGTTGGAGTAAAATCTCTGGCGCCGTGGGTGAGCGACTGTCACAAGGCACAGACAGGCACAGACTGCAGCCGCCATGAACCATTGCACTTGTCGCACCGCATCACCGCCATAGCCATAATCGGTGACTCGATTCCTCAATTCGAGTGCTCCGTAGTCCGACCAGGCCCTCTTCCGCCCCTCCTACTCTACTGCAATTTGGCCACCTGCAGCACCAATCATTCGACCCGGGCCGGAAGATCGAGATCCCCAAACCAAAACTCACCTGCACTCCCAGCAGCAGCAGCAGCCATGAAGATCCTTGAGGCGCAGAGCGCCATCCTGTCAAACTTCGAGGTCTACCAGCACCTCCTCAATGAGCAGCAAAAGGCCAAGCTGCCCGACAGGAAGAGGCAGGTCCCCAGGAACCTCCAGACCGTCATCAAGGAGGTACGCCCGCGCTCTCCCACAGCCCACATGCCGAACCACCAGCTCACTCTTGTGCAGGTCATTGACCAACTACGTACCCAGCCCGATCCTCTCAGCCAGCGGCCCATCACATACGATGCCACCAGCATCGGCCGCCTGGTCGAGAGGCTGCGCGACTTTGATCTCACCAAAGGCGAGACCATCATGATCATCAACCTGCGCCCCGACAACCCCGCCGTCCTGGCAGCCTGTGTCGAGGACGCCGAGTCGCGCTTTGACGAGGAGAAGCAGCACCAGATCCTCGCCATCATCGAGGAGGTCCTTGGGCCTCTGCCAGTCAAGGAAGCCGCCGAGGCCTGATCATGACCCGACCCTTGGCCACGGTCCGTGATGATTTGCAGCTGTATTAAAATTACCAACTGAGCACACCCTTGTCCTCGCCACAACGCACACTCCCAGCGCCGACCCCACAAGCCTGCCCTACAACAGATGAGTCACCGGAATCGACGGCGGCACCCAGGGCGGCATCACATCAAACAACAACCCCCGGCGCTCTGGCCACCATCCGCACTGGTCGTCTTGACAGCCATTTGGCAAATCTCCTCGAATGCCAGCTGGAGAAGCTCCCCCGTCACTGCAGAACATTCCATGTACTTGTCAGCCCTGATCTCTGCCGCAATGCGATATGCCTCCTGCGGATATATTATGCCGTTGGGGTCGTCTTCGGACCTCAGGTCCCGCTTCAGGCCAAGCACGGCCAGGGGCAGCGTGCTTTCAGACTGGAAGGTGGAGCGGACTTCTTTGATCCACTACTAGGAGGACTGAGGTTAGTGGGGTAGAACAGGAGTCAAGTGTGGCGAGGCCCAAGGGATTGACGGCCACGCACAACTCGCTGGAGGTTGATGAGACTAAAGCGCTGGCTTATATCGTAACAGATAAGAGCGAGGTCTGGCCTGAGAAGGCGCCAGTTCTCCGGACTCGACGTATCATAGAACTCTAATCGATACTGCCGCCTCCCAAATGATGTCTCAAACACAAAGGGTTGATCCATGTCCTTGAGCAGAGTTATTGGTCTGGTGCCAACGAGGTTGCTGTGGCCCTGGCTGATCCGCCTGCACTGGGTCAGTTCCACCCGCGGCACATACACACATAGCAGCAGAGGAGAGATCGGCCGGGTGGAACACGCACGATAAGAATGTTGTCTTTCCTACTCCGTCATCCCCAAGCAACAATATAGATATCGTCTGTGAATCCATGGTGTCAGTCGATGCACAGGTTGGCTCCAAAATCATGCACCGGCCTGAAGAGGCTGAGGGCAGACCTGGGTAGAAGATAAGTAGGCTAGCATATATATCCCTCTGTCGGAGCCGCCATCGGCACTTATCGATAAGAATCGCTCACTCTAAATTTCTATGGCTCACATCTCTCGCTCAGCCGCCGTACACTGCACAGGCAGGCTGCACTCATATGAGCTGTTGACGAGACAAACGTATGAAGTCGGTCAGGGGTTTCATCCACGGCTCAACATGGAATAAAGCCAGACCAGTCAATTTCCCCGTCCTGAATGCCCCAGCGGCGCACGTCCTGAGCACTATTTCAACACCGGCCCCCGCAAGACCAGTGTCGCACAGAACCACTACAATGGCCGATTATAGCAAATGGACCAAGGATGACCTCGTGAGCCGCATCAAGCAGCTTGAAAATGAGATCAAATCCCAGAGTGGTGGGCTCCAGGCCACCAGCCCACCAAAACACCAGGACCAGGAAGCGGCCGTGCTGCCCGGCGAGCCCGCCAAGAAGAAGGCGAAGAAGAAAAATAGTAAGGGCATCGACCCAGCCAATTACTCGAAGCGCTTCGTGGCCCTCAAACTTGCCTACCTGGGCAAGAAATACAACGGCTTCGAGTACCAGCCGACCGGGGCCATGTCCACCATCGAGGAGGAGCTGTGGAAGGCGCTCGTGAAGGCATGCCTGATCTTCCCGGACCCGCAGCGGCCCAACGAGGTTGACTGGAACTGCTGCGAGTACTCCAAGTGTGGCAGGACGGACCGCGGGGTGAGCGCCTTTGGCCAGGTCGTCGCGCTGCGGGTGAGGAGCAACAAGCCGGTCAAGGCCGCGAGGACGAGAGCCCGGCCCGCAGCCACGGGCCAGGCTGACAGGGTCGACGTCGAGATGGGCGGCACGCCAGCTGCCGGAGAGGCGGAGGTGGAGAGGGCGGAGGATGATGATGATGCGCCACTGCCAGTTGATCAGGAGATACAGTACTGCCGCGTGCTCAACCGCATCCTGCCGCCTGACATTAAGGTCTACGCGTGGTGCCCGAGTCCCCCTCCGGACTTCTCGGCGCGCTTCAGCTGCCGGGAGAGGCAGTACCGCTATTTCTTCACACAGCCAGCGTTTGCACCACTGCCCAACTTCCTCGAGGGGGCCAACAACGGCAGTGGCAACGGCAACGGTAAAAGCAAGGGCCAGGCGCCCCAGCGCTCTTCGGGCCGGCCAAAGGACGGCTGGCTTGATATCGGCGCAATGCGCAAGGCGGCAAAGATGTTTGAGGGGGTACACGACTTCCGCAACTTCTGCAAAGTTGACCCGTCAAAGCAGATCACCAACTTTGTGCGGCGGATCTTCGAGTCGGACATCGTCGAGGTGGACGGCGTCAACACCTCGGTGCCGTACCTGGACGGCCCGCAGTTCCGCGACGCCGCGGCGGAGGCGGGCGTGGCGCACCCCAAGGTGTACTACTTCCACGTGCGCGGGTCGGCCTTCCTGTGGCACCAGATCCGCTGCATGGTGGCGGTGCTTTTCCTCGTCGGCCAAGGGCTGGAGGACCCCGGGGTGGTGGCGGAGCTGCTGGACCCCGAGCGGCACCCCCGGCGGCCCAACTATGTCCTGGCGGACGACAGGCCGCTGGTGCTGTGGGACTGCGTGTTCGGGCGGGACCAGGGCGACGGGGCGGCCGATGGGGTCGACTGGGTGTACGTCGGGGCCGACAACCCGCTGAACCTGCACGGCTCGTGGGGCGTGGCCAACGACCTGTGGGAGTACTGGCGCGAGAAGAAGATGGACGAGCTCCTGTCCAACCGGCTCCTGGACTGGGTGTCCCACAAGACGGGCGTGAGCCTTGTGCCCGAGGCCGGGAGCCAGGCGCTCCAGAAGGCCATGGCCGGCGCGAGGAGCAGCACGAGGGTCTACGAGGGCGGCAACGGACCCCGGTTCGTGGGCACATATGTGCCGCTGCTGAAGAAGGACAAGCTCCAGAGCCCCGACGACCAGAATGACCGGTGGGCGCAGCGCAAGGGGTTCAACAATGCCGAGGAGATGAGAGCTGTGGGCAACTGGAGGGACGCGATCAAGGACATGAAGGGCGCCGCCGACGGGGATGGGGGGAATGAGTAGGACAAGTATACAAGTATTAGACGAAGAGCCTCCAGCGTGTTTCCGTGTCAAGATTTCAAGTAGCAGCGTAGATATCTATAAACGTATACCGCCCCGCCAGCACAAGCACAAGCACAAGCACAAGCAGCCTCAATCCACAGCCTTCCCGTACTGACCTTTCTCATCCCACCGCCTGCTCACGGGCAGGGCCCCGTCGGGCTCCCACAGGCAACCTCGGACGCCCCTCCAGACAGCCTCGACGACCCCACGGCCGGGGAGCAGGCGCGGAAAGACCACGACGACGTCGTCCTCGCCCTCGACGACGACGATAAGGTAGTAGCGCACGGCGATGCCGCGGAAGGCCTCGTTGATGAGCACGTCGCGGATCTTCTCGGTGGGGATGAAGCGCGTGCCCGCGCGCCAGCCCGCCAGGTAGCTGCCGCCGACGGAGCTCGTCTGCACGCCGAGCCCGCGCAGCACCAGCAGCGACTCGGTCGTGTGCACCCGCAGCGTCGTCACGTAGGCCACGGCGGCGCACAGGGCGAGTGCGGCATAGGGTGGCAGTCCCTCGGCCAGGCGCTGGGCCACCCGGCCGGCCGGCGAGAGATGGGCCGCGCGCGCCAGGTACGGCAGCCACTCGGTCGTGTAGAGTGTGGTCGGGGGGGGATTCGCGGGGCCATCGTGATGGTCGGCTGGGGTGGGGGCCGTGGACGATGTAATCGTGACATGGCTGTGGTATTGGTCATGGTCATGGAGGAGTGGCGTGGTGCTCGAGGCCGTCGGGGTGGCGGTTGCGATGCTCGCCGAGTGGTGGGCGGCATGGTGTGAGTGGTGGTAGTAAGGCGAGAGCGTCCATGTCGAGTACAGCACCAGCACCACCGAGAGCCCGAGGAGGACGCGCACGACAAAGACCAGCCCCAGCAGGATGCGCAGGGACAGGGTGGGCGGCGGGCAGGTGGTGACGGTGAACTCGGCGGTTGTCGGGGACGGGCGGCGGACGTGAAGGTGCGGCGCCGTGGTGAGCATCGTGACGAAGCTCTTCCGTTCCTCTCGAGGCCTTGGTTCAGAGCCAACGGCCCATCCTGACCACCCCTGGCAGGTCGACAGGTGCTGTGCTGAGATGAGATGGCACAACAGCCAGGCCGCGTCAGGTACGGAGGTAGGGGTGCTTAAACAAGCTGCACTGCCAAACGGCACCAGTCTTTGCTCTTCCAATCACACCTAGGTAGGTGGGTACCTAAGTAGGTACCATATAAGCTATAAAATTTGCCGTTTTATCAGCTGTAATGGCCCATTTGGGACGACGGCTTGCAATATTCTCACCCCACTATTCCATTTCCATCAGAACCCCAAGACGATGCCCAGCGCGAGCGTGGCAGCGGTCACCCACTCGCTTGGGTAGCCAGCGATGCTGCGTGTGGCCCGAAGCCGCGAAGACGACCCCTCAGGGAGGTTTCACTCTGCAAGGACGCCTTCACTGCTGCGCGGCGTGCTGGATCACATTGTCTTGGGCTTGGGGTAGAGAGGAGAGATGGCGATGTCAACTCCCTTTTTTTGTTCTTTTTGCCCTTGCTCTCCTTCGACGACGTTCATTCACCCCACCTTTTTCAGAGGTCCTGTGTTCGAGTGGCCTCGCCGCAACTTTTGTGGAACAGCATTTTCATATTGCAACTCACACGTTTTTCTCTTCTTCTTTTTTTTGAGCATTTCACAGCACCCTCTGGTTTTCTCCCCGACAAGAGAACAACATCATGCCGGATTGATTCAGAATTGCATTGTCCATGATGGTATAGGAATAGTTCAAACAAGAATGCCGTGAGGCAGCACTATATTACACCCGAGAGCTGACTAGTTTCCGGTGCTCGTTTTTCCAGTTTCCAATCTCCTGGGTGAGTCGATTCGGGTTTTCTGTTTTGTCTGCTGTCCAATGTTGCCATCATTGCGCTCTCTTCTCCCATCTTTTTTCCACGGTTGTCACCCACCGTGACCTTCCCTTGGCGTCATCAATCATTGTTTCGCAAGGCGGAAAGAAAAAATAACGGTACAACATTGACCCATGTGCCATCTCTTTTCCTCCCTCCGTTCCTGTCCTTCCACCCTTCCCTTCCCTTCCTATGCGGCCACCATTCATCACGTCGTAAAAAAGAACTCGCAGTCGAGAGGAGAGATAATGATGTTTATGAGCGTGGTCGTTGTTGGTGAAAGGGACAACAAGACTTGTAAATTTTTGAGACAGGAAAATGCCATGTGATACGGAAATAGGTACTGCAGAGATTGGTAAGAAATGTACAAATTGTTGCCCTTGTCGGTTGGTATATCGCAGGTGAGAAACAAACGAAGAACAGGATGGAGAGGGGGGCCTGAACAGAGCCATCAGAAACAGAAAGCTGGTGTTGTCCCCCGATTCCCGGTGTCCAACATCTTCGGGAACACTCCCTCAAAAACGGGTCCCGTCATTGGCGTGTGAAAGATATGGTATCAAATGCGTGTAGAAGTGAAATGTAAACAGGACGCCAGCCGCCATGCAGGATCGAAAAGAACAGGATAACACGATGACTGTGAACACAAGCAATGCTGGGTGAAAGGGAAAAGAGAACGGAACGGAAGAATAAGCAGCTAAGAGATTTAGAAGAAACCACAAGCCAGGTACAATAAGCACCGAGCGTATTAAGAGAGAAAGAAGAAAGGTGAAAGAGCCCCGGCGGCTCAGATCATCTTCTGGCTCAAGTCAAACTCCTCCCTCATCGTCCTGCCGTCGATGGGCGACTTGAGCTCGCGGTTGTGGAAGCTGACAGGCGGGCCTTTTGGCATGGTGATGCTCTCGTAGGGCGCGGTGGCTCCGCCCTCTATTGGGGACTTGGTGCGGCTGACGACGCTCGAGTTGTTGCGGCTCCGGCTTCCACTCCTCATCCTCTCCGTAGCACGCGAGATGCGCCCGGCGATGCTGTTGTCCACGCTGCTGCGGCCACGGTGGTGGCCACGAGGGGGGTTAGGTGGGGCGATCACCGGGACGGTGCTCTCGGAGAGGGGCTGAACGCTCTGGCTGTGGTCAGGCTGGAACGGCTCGTCATTGTCCATGACAATCTCAACAGTGCCGGCCGTGCCGTAGACAACGGGCGGCTTGCCGCCGTGAGCGAACGGGAGGGGTGCGGGTGGCGGCGGCGGCGGCGTGGCCAGGTGCTGGAGCTCCCTCAAGACCGGCGGTGGCGGCGGTGGCGGCGGTATCTGGTCAGCGTTTGACACGCGCCGTGAGTGGCCAGGGTTGCCAACTTGGCTGTCGTCCATGATCCCATCGATGGTGCGGATGTACTTGGATGATGAGTACGCATCTGGTGTGCTCAGTTTCCTGAGGGACTGGCCCCTGGCAAGCCTGCTGTGGCCCGGGTTGCTGTCACCCCTAAGGGACTGGGGCGCAACCGGCTCCTCAGGTGGTGCAGACATACAACGCTGGATACCAGGCCTGGTTGGCGGCTGGTAGACGGTAGAAGGGAGCAGGGTCAGCAGGCCTTGGCCATCGCCAGCCTGCGGGGAGCTGGTCTCCTTCTGGGGTGAGTTCTGTCGCGACTTGGGCGACTCAGCCTGTGCAAATGTCATAGGGATGGGCGGCACGGGTTCTTCGGGGCTGATCTCCTTCTGGCCCTCCATGACCAGTCTCATCGCCTTGGGGGTGGCCGGAAGGCCAATAAAGGGGCGTGTCGGCTGCTGAGCATACATGCTCCGCTTTTCGGGTTCCGCGGTACGGCTGCGAGGAGGAAGCTCCTTGGGCTGGACAAAGGTAGTACTAGGCAGCTCGAAAGCAGTCGGCGCGCGGGGGATGCTCGTGCCTGGGAAGGACGGGGACAGCTCATCCGGGTGAGGAATCGCAGGGGCTAACGGTCGCTTGGCGAGCGACTTGCGGCGCTCCTCAAGCTCGCGGGCTGCAGCCTCCTTCTTGAGTTGGCGCTCGTCCTTGATTGCCTTCAAGTCTCCGCGGCCGGAAACTGCGAAGTCGACACGGGGGGTACGAGACCTAGCTTCCTGCGATTCCCTGGGCTTAGAGCTCTCACGCGTCATCGGAAAACCGGGGGACGGTTCACGAGACTTGCTGCCGCCCCGTGACAGCGTCTTCTTGCTGCGGAACTTGGCCTGGTCTTCCCTGGCCCTCCTGTAATCTTCCTCGTCCTCGGAGCCGTAGTAGTGCTGTACACCCGCAGACATGGGGAGAGGCGACGATGGGGATCGTGCGCCAGAGCCTTGCCGATCATTGCTACGGCCGCGGGGGATCTCAAGGGGCGCTGGTCGCATGCCGTCGCGGCTTGAGCCTCGGCGAGGGCGACTCCTTGAAGTTGCCCGGACAGTGCTCGCCTTGCGGACAGTTGTGGGCTCTTCAATTTCTTGGCTGCGCTCGTCGTATCTCGTCGAACTAAAATTAGGAGTGCTCAGGTTGAGCAGATCTTCCGGCGACATTGGGACAGGAGAAGTCGGAGATCTCTTCCCAGCTCGGGGGGTGTAACCTCGGGAAGCGGCGCGTCCCCGGTCGCCCGATCGCTCACGAGAGCCGCCCTTGCGCGTTGCGCTTCTGTCCCGGGCCTTGTTGCGCCCCTCCCGGCTGCCACCGCGGGATTTTGTCTTGGCGGCTTCAAGGCTGCTGATGTAGTCATCCAGGCTCTTGCCACCGTGGTGGCCCCGATGACCCCTAGCAGCGCTTGAGGTAGCTGATGCAGAGGTGGTAGAGCTGGCAATGGACGGCGGAGCACGGCGCCTGGTCGGCCAATGGAAGCGAGTCGAAGAAGTGACCGATTGCTCGGGTGATGTGATGTCACTTCCCAGCGCGTGGTCCATTGATCGGAGCTGCAGTTCCAGTCCGTTGGGCATGCGCTCACGGGGTCCGTTGCGGCTCCGTCGGCCACTCTGCATGAGCATCGCGAGGGAATCTGGCGAGGGAGATGGCGGCGGGGCTTCCTTTCTGCGGTGAGAGTTCTTCATCATCATAGGACTTGCCGTAGCAGCCCTCTCCAGTGACATGCCAACGGCAGCATAACCATCGTCCGCAGCATTCCTAGCATTGTGGCTGGGCTGGGCAGGAGAGTCAATCGGCGGTGTGAGGGCATCGACGCCCGCGGGGAGCTGTGCGCTGGGCTTCTTTGCCGTGTTGCGCAGGTTGGCGTCGCTTGGCATCTCTCCAATGGAAGGAAGTCTTCCGCGGCTAAAGTTACTGGTTTGCGAGCGCGCTGTCGTGGGCGTGTTGAATGCGCTGCGGCTAGAGGGTCTGAGGAAGGCAGTTGTCATCTCTTCTGCCCTTGGCGATATAGCCGACTCAGCAATTGGCGTCACGCCGGCTGCGATCGGCGTCTGGCCACCATCGTTGGACGCGAAGAATTTGGACTTGGAGTTCTGGTCGCCAAAGGACGTGATGAGTTTGAGTGCAGACGTCTTGGCAATGCTTCGCTGAGGCCCGCGGTTCAGGCCCGGTGGTGACAGGGGAGGGCTGAGGACCTCAGGGATGCCGGGATTTATGGCTGTATTGATGCTCTGGAACGTCATCTGCTGTGCCGAGGGTGATGTCCATGGCTCATCGGACTCCTTGCCAGAGCAGGCAAAACTGTTCATCCAGTATTAATTAGTACGAGTCACCAAAACCAGCAGGTTTTCAGTCCGGGAAAACTCACCATCGGATGGCTAGCTGCTGATGCCCATGTTGGACAGCCCACTCTCCCCACTTCTTGATGATCTGGGCCTGGCGCTCCCACACTGACGGGAAGAAGAGACATGTTAGGATTAAGGCCTCGAGGAACTTCTTGTGAGAGATGTACACCTCGATCGCATCAGTCTGGTCGCCCATTCCGATCATGATCGTCACCGCTGAGTGAATATCGCCGTTCTCGAGCAGTCGTTGAACATAGGCCAATCCGAGTTTGTGTTGTGCTGCTGTGCCACCGATGCCGCTTAACGCCAGCAGCATCCAGTCCGAGGAGGTCATGTTCTCAGAATTTGCCGCCATGACGTCTGGGTCGATGTCGCCCAGCCATTTCGCGAGCAGAATCCTGCTCGGTGTCCCCTGGGGGTGGCGGCTCATCTCATCGCGAACAAGATCTTCCGCCTCTTTCGTCCACCCGAAGATTGTGCACAGCATCTGCCGTCGGAGGTCGTCGTTTGTCAAGCGGCTGCTGTCGACCATGGGAGGCCTCTTGTAGGGCACATCACTGAGACGGCTTCTGGTATACTTGAACAGATCCACGACCCTTGAATCCTCGGGGCTTCGCGGGATCTCATGTCGCAGGCGAGACGGTCTGTGTCGAGACCGGCTTGTTGATGATCCCATAGAGACAGAGCTCAGGCTGCTCGTGGAGAACGATGAGCTTTCACGTTTTGGCTTCTCCTGTGGGAAAGTCGAAGATCGAATAGAGGAGCCAGCAGAGATGTAAGTGTTGTCTGTCAGGCCGCGTGATCGGAGAGAGGACTGATACCGCCCGGGGGTCCTCGAGCTGGTGGACGAGACATCAGACACACCGCTCCGGCTTGATGCCGGGCTGGCTGTACGATACTGGTCCTCGTCCGATGATACCTGATGATTGCCAGCCCTGGCGATCCTGGCCATTGGCGGAGCGAGGTCCTCATCGCTCTCAGAGATATCCGCGCTGATCTGTATGGAACCCATTTCCGAGTCGGACGCTGTACTCACACCTTTCTCTTGCTCCTCGATCGACACCGGGGGAGACGGAGGAAGCAAGTTAGCAGGGTGCTGAACGTTGGCCACCATCATGGCGGGGGCATTGAGGTCAAACTGCTGCACTGTGTTGTTGGCGGCGATGGTAAATAAGCTGGCCCCAGGGCCGTAGACCGCGAGCCCCTTGGTGTGCTCCAAGGTAGGGATTTTGTCAAATGTTACATGCTTGGTCCGCACGTCCCAGGACAGGGTTTCGCTTCGGATTCACCCAGGTCAGCAGATGACATAAGAAATGGAAATGGCCCTTGACATGACTTACGATTCGCTGTGTTGGATGATTCTTCCATTTTTGGACCAGCCCATCCAGTTCGGGCCGGCCAGGGAATTCTCCGACTTCTTCAGGATGCGGACAACCTTTGCTGGATCCGCGCTGTTGTAAGCTTTTGACACACTCCAGACCCTCAGATCGCCGTCATTGGTCTGGACAGCCAGCATATCCGACTTCTGCCGCGAAGAAGAGGCATGCCAACTCAGTGAAATGATAGGAGATGGCGCTCTTGACGTGGTCAAGTTGTGCAGAATTGTGAACCTCGGCTGAAGTGTCGCAATCAGCAGCGAGCCGTTTTGGTATCTGATCCACAGTCAGTATCAACTCGGCTCAAAAGACATACAAGTGTTGAGTTGCCAACCCTATTGCGAAAGTCCGGCAGTCGGCTGACGGTGCAAGCGCTGTCACTGCTATTTGGTCAATGGTCCGGGCCGAGATGTGCTCTGATGTTGTCGGCTCGAAGAGGATGATGTTGCCCTGCGTGTTACCTATTGCTTCTTGTCAGCCAGAGCCCAAGGGGTCACAAGACAGCGTGGTTCAGCGCCTGTGCACTCACCGAACGCAACATTGCCGTTTCGCATCCAGGCGGCAACGGTCAGGTGCTCATACGAGGCAAAGCGCGCTACTTCTTCCCCGGACATGATATCCCACACTATCGCGGTCTGCCCTGCGTCGTAACTGACCACTAACCTGCCGGCTCCCATTTCGCTCTGGTTATCGACGGCCAAGATCTGCACCTCGTCGTCATGGCGGGAGAACCTTCTCTCTATGGTCAGGGTGTCGTGGTGGCAGCAGACCACCGAGTTACCTTGGGCATAGAGAAACATTGAGGCAGTGGCCGCAGTCGGGTCGAAATATCGGAGGATGGCGGTTGGCGACATCTTGAAGTCGTCCATTGCCGTCCCTTTACTCCTCGAAGACAGGGGAGTTGAGGTCGAGCGCCCCCTCGATGGCCTGGCTGAGGTGGCCATGCCAGACATGATATGCTTCGCTGGCGGACTTTGTGTAGCAGGTGGTCAGTCGGGATGCTGCATTCAGGAAAGAGACCCCACCCTCGGGCTAAGTTTGCGCTCAGCCCGAGATTCTCGAAGGGCTCACGAAAAGAAACCTGGGTGCACAAGAGATGTCTCACATACCAGCGGTAGGGTGAGAACCCCTCCGGAAAGGCGTCGCAACGAACTTGAGTCGGGCGGTGAGGCTACACAGTTCGACCTGGGACCATCACATGGAACACCCAGCTGCCCGTTTCCGGACGAGTCCGTCCTCCACGTTCGTTGTCTCAGATATGCCGAAAGTCAACCCTGGCCTGTTGTATGCGGTGAGGGGCCTTGGTGGGAAAAGGGCGGCTGCCGTGCCTGGGGATACTTGTATTCCGTGGAGACAGCGCGTGCGCTTTCCCTCTTTTTTTTTCGTTTTTCCTTTTTCGGGGGTTTTTTTTTTCCCTTCCTTTTTTCCCCTTTCTTCTTTTCTTTTCCCCTCCTTCCGGCTCGGTGCCGATCACAGGGTGGAATTGATGATGAATAAGAACAAGAAGGGGGGTGGATCTGAGTGGTGAAGAGTGAGCGAGGTGTGAGGTAATACCAGCCAGGTACGTCAAGATTTCAGGTAGCACGGGCTTGCTGGTCAAGGTCCGTCAGGCGCGTGCGATATGTAGGTGAGCGGCAATGAGAGACTGTGGCGATAATTTACCCGCCTCGTGGGCGGAGCGGCAGAAAGCCAGGGTATGCCGGGATATCTCGAATGGCAGGCGCTTGTGGTGGCTAGAGTGCTGTGATTCTGGGCTCGCGGACGAGGAGCAAAGGTCCCATTCCCATCAGAAGGGTGAGCAGCAGGAATCTTGGGATGCACGGGGTTGCAGAAAGTGCAAGAAGCATGCGGAGGGAGAGAGAAAATGCATCAAGAACGGCGCGAGGTGTGGGATGGGGGTGTGGGATGGCAATAAGTCGAAGAGTTGAGCGCCTAGAGCGACAAGGCCTGGCCTGTCAGTGGACGATGCGGGAGGGCATATAAAATTAGAGTGGTGGTGGTCCATGGGCGACATGGGCGACATGGGCGAGGTAGCGTCTACGGAGTAGAGCAGCGATTTGTGAGAGTATGCGAGCGGGTACGGACCGGCTCATCTGAGGGCCTAGCACTGCATGGCGACGGAGAAGGCAGGCATGCTACAAGGATGGCGACGAACCTATGAGGTCGCTGGGGACGGCAAGGTCAGGAAGTCATGGCTCGCCGAGGCCAGGTGTGGAAGCATCAGAGAGGGAAAGGCCGGTGACCGTGGGCATGGGAGACGCAGTAGCTCCCAGAGCTGGCAGGCTGGTTGGCCGGGAGCCAAGTACCCAGTACTGTGTATGTGCCATGATTAGCCTCCACCTCGTGCGTACTCAAGTACCTACCTAGGTACCCAGGTACTTGGCCAGCCTATCCAGCCTATCCAGCCTATCCCGCCTGTCCTGCCTGTTGCTGCCACCCGGGCTGCAGGGCACATGAGATGATCGACCCCACGGCCAATTGGGCAGGAAGGCCGGCCTTCCTGCCCAAAGCCACGACACAACTTGAGTCGTGAGCCAGTTGCTTGCCCTGGAGGCCTGATGGGACAGGTTTGGAGGCGGGCGAGGGGCGGGCGAGGGACGGACGATGGCCGCAGGCGCCGTGCAGATATTGTCCACTGTACTGCTACTCGGTGGTCCCACCCGTCGCCCTGTCTGCACGCTTGCACGCCTGCTTGATAGTCCTGGTCTGGATAGTCGCGTCGTACCGAGTACAGTGCGTCTGGCCCGCCCGTACCTGACATGGCAGTGTCGAGCCCGATCCCACAGACAGGGCAGACCTCCAGCCATCCATCCAGCCACCCACCCAGCCAGCCAGCCATGACGGGTGTCACAGATGCTTGGATGGGCCGCGGTGAGGAAGGGGAGCAACGGGGTGGATACTGTAGCAGGAGCGGGGGAGGAGGAGGAGGCCACTGGTACTCCGTGCTCCGTACCGCCGGGTCTAGCAAGGTACGTACTGCATGTCTGGAGGCTGGCCATCATGTCATGTGAGATGAGATACTGTGTAGCCAGGCCGGCCGCCCGCCTCACTCTGTCGATGTCTGCCAGGCTGCCAGGCTGCTGTTGATCCAGGGCACAAGAGAGCATGTACTGTAGGAATACAGAGCACAGGGTGCAGAGTGCAGAGTGCAGAGTACAGAGTACATGGCAGAGAGAGTGCGGGGGGGCGGATGGCCCTGTGGCATGTTGGCATGCTGGGGCCATGTACTGTCCAAGGCCATCCATGCCCATGCCCCATGCCCGCATGTATGTGCGGTGCGGCCAGGCTTGCAGGCGTGCAGGCGTGCGGGCGGTACAGCGAGCGAACGACAGTCTTGATGCAACCAGATGGTGGGCGTGGAGGGCCCAGAAAGGGTTGAGGTCGAGCAGAGCACGCTCTGTCAGGAAGGAACGGTACCGGAACGGTGCACGGGCCCCTGTAGAGTATTCTTAAGGAATCCTCGGCCTCTGGCTTGTTAGACAGAAACTTAGACAGAACGAGAAACAAATGCACCCCCTTCACTTACTTCGCACTCCCTGACACGCTCAGTGGCCGGGAATTAAGCGCCGACTGGCGTTCCGGCCCCGCTGGTGAGCATCTTGTTTGCAGGGAGGTGGGGACGGGATGCCAATCACGGTGCAAGGCCGCCTTTCTCATCACCTCGACCAGGGTCCTGCAGCGCCTGCACAGGCAGGGATGTCCCGGCTCCCTCATCTCCCGCACCCAGACAGCCCCAGACCCTGGCTGCCATGGCCGCCATGGCGTACCTATCAACCTGCCTATCAATCAACAAGGCCGTTGTTCACGTCCTTGATTGATCCGTTCACTTGTTTGCAGTCAGTCAGTCAGCCAGTCAACCACTCCAGGTCTCCCACAATCAATCAATCAATCGATCAATAACTAAATCAATCAATCAATCCATTGTCATGCCACGACTCGATCACTCGCCCCCAGCCCTTGCTCGACCCCTCCGTTCCTTGCCGAACCTCGGAGGGAGCATCGGTGATATCAGCCATTCATTGACCGGGCTGACTGGTTGATTGATCGATCGACATGATCCCTCGACCTGTGCCATATCAGTTGCCTCAGCGCCACCAGATCATCCTACCACCTGCCTCGGCAGCCCGGCCGGGCTTGTCAGCGACCCGTGACCATCCTGCCATCACCCCCCCCCAGCTCCCGCGCGGCACCATGCTGACCGTTCGTTGATCGTCACCTCTGTCAGTCACTCACTGTCACTTTCACCGTCACTGACACCCTCATCCTCACCCTCACCGGCTGCGGCTGCGGCTGCGGCTGCGGCTATGGCTATGGCTATGGCCATGGCTATTGCTATAGCTTCAGCTTCAGCTTCAGCGATGAGCCCCCGTCGCGGTTGGTAGTTGGTACTACTGTCCGATTGCCAGCACAGCTCGCCAAGTATCTACAAATGCCATGACGGCCATGATGCCTACCTTCTTCAACCTGACACCACAGCCAGCTGCGAAACCACTTGTGCAGCGAACAAACACGGTACTGTAGAGACACTGCCACATGTGCCCACGGGTCTTGCCTGCATGTCTCGCCGTCCATCCTCAGCTCGTTCAACTGCATCCAGAAATCTTATCAGGGCCACAAGATAAACAAGGGGCGAGCCATGCCACACAGACACCTTTTTGTCAGCTTGGTTCATTAGATTGAGACGCACACTCCGCCGCACACTTCGCCCTGCCATGCAACCACACAACACAAGGCCGTTGCCGTTTTCGACGAGGGACACGCCCAGGGCTCAGAGTGTGCCGCCCAAACTGGGCTGGCTGGCTTGACTGGGACCCTGTGCCTGGTGTGATCAAACAGCCGAGCTGTTTCTGTTTATGCGTCCCCATCCCCAAGCCCCTGGCTCCATCCTCCGGCGCCCACGCCTCACGCCGGCGCCGGCTGCTCAACGGTTGGCCGCTAGCTCCCGGCACCGACGAGGGCCCCAAGCTTGACGCCTGAGCCGCTGCTGCCATTCGTCGTCGCCGCGGCCCTCCATGGCGCTGCCATCTCGGGGCAGCAATCCGAACATCGCGGGCTACGCCGTCCCCAGGGCCTCGACCCTACCTGCCAATTGACTCCCCGCGGCCCGCATCTAGCTCGCAACCTCATGCAATCTTTCTCAAGACACGTTAGTGCGGGCGCCCATGCACGGTATCTCTGGCCCTGGTCGGCCGGCCGGTGCTGAGCAGACGCAGACCAGACCAGAGCACGCATCTGCCCTCCATCTCGCTACGCGGTGGCCTGCTTGCCTGCGTGCATGGGTGGTGCATGGAGCCACACGCCTGCTGATGGAGTGCGAATACTTTATTTTCCTCTCGTACCTTGAACGCACTCCTGCATTGCTACCTTGTCCGGCTTGCCCTGCAGCACTCGGGGCCGCTAGTCCGGTACCCCGCGGCCACCAGGCGAGCTTTGTTTCTATAATAACCCAGTGCAGGCTGGCAGGCTGGCTCACCCCACCCCTTTCTGCTGCCCAGGTTGCACAGGCCTGCCGTGCTGGTGGCCATCACGCATCTCGAAATCGTTTATTAATGGATGTCTGCCGCTATATCAAGTCCTGGTCGTGGTGTTGGTAGGACGGGCCTGCTGTCCCAGGTTCAGCGTGTTGGCACCTCGACCCGACCTGCCTCGCAACCTGCCTCGCAATTCTCATCATGGCCACAGCAACGTGTTGCCCTCTCATATAAGCCCTGGCCAGGTCGAGAGGGTGGTGACACAGCTTACAGTGCTTACATGGCCACTCTGGTCGGTCGAAAGACTGTCAGGACAGGCACGTCTGGACTAGGCTCCTTTGGGGTCACGTAAAGTGCCACGGCGTGCCACGACGTGTCACAGCATGCAGCATCGTCACTCTAAGCTACATCAACCCCACGTATCACCAGCGCGTCCCATTGTGTGGTCAGATCAGCTTCTTTCTGTTAGAGGGAGCCGGTCATGCCCACGCCCCCCGCAAGGCCTCGTTTTCCGCACTTGTGCCTTGCAGCTCGTATGCTGTTCGACAGTTTCTAGAAATACCAAGCCTAGTCCGAGCACGGCTGAAGCTAATCGTATTACGTAGCTTCTCATGTGTTTCAGAAACAAACTATGGCCATGCGCATCGCGCCTCTGCAACATTCAGGTCTCGGGCCGTCAGGGTCGCTTCTCGAGCACCTCAGAAAAGATACAGAACAAGGTTCGCAGGTTGGCAGGCGAGGAAGGTGCTTGGGCCATTGGACCAGAGGGCGATCCCAGGGTTTCTTCCGGAGATGTACCCAAAAGGCGACGGAATCCCTCCCTTTTCGATAACCATGTGTCGCTTCGGCCTTCGGGAACGGACCTGGCAGGACTGAAAACCTGCAGCTCGCTGCTCCGTGCATTCACCCTCCATCCTTTGACGAGTTTAACCTTGTCTCTTGCCATTGACGCGAGGGGCGTGCGGCATGGAGACGTGTTACACAGCACACAGCAAGTTGAGCAGGGCTGCCTTCATTAACGATGGGACATGCCGTCCCGAAAAAGTAGTGATTTCTGCAGGCCGCTGCTGGCCCGGCCTGGCAGTCAGTTCTGCGCAATGAGCTGGCAACTCAATGGCGTCAGCAATTGTCCCCTGTTTTCTTTTCCTTTCTTTTCTCTCTCTCTCTCTCTCTCTCTCCTTTTTGGCAAAACGTGGCAGCGACGCTGTGTCAGCAATGCCCGTGAACACAGTTGGCGATTGAGGAATCCCCAGTAATCCCAAGGCTTTCTTACCATTGCATTGGGTGGCCAGCAACGTTCACTCGCAGGGTAGCAAAAGCTTCCCGAGGTGCATCAGCGCCCTGGCCGCCCCGGGGGGGGGTCCCGTCGACGGGTCCAAGGCGCTCACCTCCCGGGATGGAAGCTCTTCTGCATCCGTCTAGTCGAGGTAGTGTGCCGGGATGGGAGCTCGTCGTCAAATCTCGCCAATGCCCCCCCCTATATACCTTGCCAACCACAATGCAGAAGCTGACGGCATGTGCCATCCACAAACACATGAATGCTCTGGGCCAGGAAAGGCAGGACTACTGGGGATTGATAATAGCTCAAGTCCAGCCATCACGGCTACTTTTTGTCTGTAGGCCAGCAGGCGACCACTTTTTCACGTGGGTGTGACCTGGCATGGGTTTGGCATCCATTGTCAATGATGACGGAGATCGCCGCATCACAATCTGTGGCATC